ATTTGCTAGCCGATCATGCGTTGCGTGCTGGGTATAGAGGGCAACAACACGTTTTCACGTAACACGGCTACACGCAGTCAAGGACACGCTCATTTTTTTTTTTTTTACTTCACCGTTTGATTATATATAGTATATATATATATATATATATATATATATATATATATATATATATATATATATATATAAATTTATTTATGTATTTTTATAGATAGAGATATATAGATATAAAGCCTATATCGATTTTACCCTTGTTACATTGTAGTCCTGCGAGCACACAGTTCCATGCAGGGACACCGCCCACGCCACACAGTCACCCCCCCTCCCACCCCACCACCACCCGCCATGCTTAAACAGCAACTTTTTTTTCAATACGTCTTGCAATGACATAAATAGCATTTATTAAACAAAAGCGACAACTCAAATAGCGTGTAAGTAGCACCGCTGTCATTGGCTATCGCAGCCTGACACTAGACGCGCCGTTAAAAATGTAATCATGCGTACAAGCTTGGAAAAACTCCGCTAACTGTTGACTGTAGCAGACGACACACGGCGTGGCGTTAACCGGACGCAAAAGTGCTGAGCCGGGTAGTGACGTGGATAGCGGGTTCTATTTTTTTTTTTATCAAGCGGCGTAAAGTACTCTAGACACGATGACCTAGATTTTTGTATTTTTGTTTTCGGAGTACATTCCCTTGGCTAAGTTGTATTTTTAGTGATCGGCTGTGCAGTTATGGTTTGTGTGAAATTTCAGTTCGTTTGGATTTTTTTTGTGTAGGAACTATATTTACACTTTAATTTGGACTTTTTTCACAGTGTAAAATATTCAAAGTAAGAATATACCATATTTTCATTCTTCTGTGCTTACCGGTGTTTATTTTTATTTTATTTTAATTGATCCGTTATATCTAAATCTACTTATCGTGGATATCAATAGTTCAGTATTGATGTTAGTCTTTGAGTCTTTGTGGTTGAAAACTCGTTGTCGATATTAGCTATACAAATATATTGATCTAGTTTATCGGCTAATCAAATGTTTTTTTATTGAATTCAAGTTATTAAAATCAATGTTATTTCAATCAATGTTAGTAAAATCAATGTATTGTGCAAGACTGTTTGGTGACACACACTCAGAACTCTAGCCTTTGACACATACTCACACACATGTCCCTCTTGTACACATGGACCAACACACTTTTTTTCACACTGTGTTGTTGAAGGTTCTAATCTGGTCATACATCCATTCTTTGTGATAGTGAAGATCATTCGCGACTGTTAAGTAGTCATGTTTGTTTATTTGGTTATCTCACATTACACAACCGATGCTGTTGTGGCGCATCAAGGATTTCTGACACCCTGTCTGATTTGAACTCTAAATAAAAAATCCTTACCACCTGACATAACATAGATGACGTGAGACTACCAGCTTATGATACAGCATTTTAAAAAGTTTATCCCGGTTACTGGTACACCATAGTGATACAACGACAGCATGTCATGTAATTGGGACACTTTTTAAAAACATTTTATTTCTGAACACATTGTTCAAGTCTTGCCCATCCCCATCAATTCCCACGCTCACGTATATCTTACTTAAACGTGTTAAAAAAGGGGGATTTTTACTTATTGGGTAAGGTCGTCCCCTTACCGCACCTTAAAGGACCAAGTTTACGTTACAACAGTTTGCTGAGGTTTATTATAACCCATACCCCCCTCCCCCCGCCCAACCACCCTACACGTTTGTTATTGACAAGCGAAGAAGTCGGCCACAGGAAACATACACAATATTGGCATCATGTTTTTTTGTGCTGAACTATTTACTGACCCCACATCAGGGGCACGGGGCATTTTGTGTTATAATGTCACGGTGACATTAGCTGTTACATAACCTGGATAGCAGACATGTCGTTTAGACATGGAACCAAGATCTTAAGGATATCACTTTGACATGTAACTCCAAATATTTTTTTTGCACTCTAGAGATACTTTTTTTTAAAATCTCCATACAACAAGTTTAACATTGTAATTGGCAGAGTGTATTAAAGTTGGAGGGTATGCGTGTATCTGGGGGTGGGGGGGGGGGGAATGAGGGACGGGTTGTGGTGGTGGTGTGGTTTAAAATGATGTTGCCTCTGCATGTACATGTCGAGGGGATGTAAGTCGTGTCAGAAGTGTAACAATTGTGACATGCCCTTGCTTATCATATGGGCTAGGTCAGGTGGTAGAGCGAAAGAGTGCTAACGCGAATGTCTCGAGTTCGGGTCGCGGGGTTTAGTCCGTACGTTGTTCTTAAGTCTATCCGTCTCTGATAGGTACCCAACTCACGTTAGGGGAAGTAATTCCTGCTGAGCATAGTGCCGACCACATTATCCTTTCAAATGCCGAGGTCACAGAAACAGCTGAATTCTACTTCGTCAGCCCTGTGGTTCGTCACTTTACTTTTTTTTTCATAGCGTTGAAGTGTTTCATACGAATAATAGTGGGTGGTCTATACACAACAGTGGCTAGGTAATAAAGGCGGCTGGGCATAGACTCACCGTAGTCACAAAAACGTGTTTTTAAATATATATTTTTCTAAATAATTTAATTTTAATTAATGTGCATAATATAATTTTAATTCGTCGATTGCTATTTTCAGTCCATTTTCTACAACATCCGACCACGGGTATACGACTCTCTTGCAATATGCGGCTTCAGAAACCTATGCGGCTCCTTTTAGAATATAAAACAGCTTGCATCATTTGAAATTAAGTAAGCCCAACTAGGGAAATGCAGAAATAGACACGTCTACATTTTCAAATTTCATAACCAGTATAACCTTTTAGTACCAATCCTGAAGTCTAGTTTTAGGACAAAAAGTGACGTGTAAAATGTTTCTTTTAAAAAAATCATTGGCGACCTCTGGTCTGGAGCTAATGTGACCCTAAATTCTGGAATCGCTACTTCCTATTTTAAGAACCCCAACCCCCCCCCCCCCCCCACATCCTTTAAAAAAACTAGACCGTTAATGTTAGAAGTTGACACACCCTGCTTAAGGTTATACCTTAGTTTAGTACCAGATCACAGGGTTATTATAACCTATTTAATTATCCCTAAGAAATAATCGCAGGGCATGTGTATCACGTGAGCTAAATATTTGATGTAAACAAAAAGCGAGCGGCGTGAGCAGGTTTTATGGCGTCCTATAAAATGTTTGAGAAGTTGAGCTTTGCCTTTGAAGGAGATTTGGCGGCGTTGTGGTTTAATGGTGATGAAGCTGGCAGGTTGGAATTGTGGGAAGTTGTCGAACTTTGTTGTTTAACCCAGGTTATGTAACATTTTTTTTTTCAATTTGAAAAGTTACGATTGTAATGACTTCGGCACATTTTCAAAAAAAGTGTATGGACTTAGAATTCGCATTCACGTGAAGTGTAGCTGTCATGTGATTGGTTAGGGTCAACGCTTAGCGTGAGGGTATTTGGCAAGTTTCACAGTTGGGAGTTCGAACGCAAAGAACGTAGTGGGGATTTTCTTGTATTATTTCCTATGTTCTTGGATCGATTGTATTTTTATAGACTGGTTTTCTTTTCTAGTCTGATGCCGATCGTTGTTTTTAATGTTTGTATATATCTGTTCATCATACTATCCTTGGCCGATCTTTACAGACGTTCTGTTGACGTTCGAGTTGATTACACTGGAGGATAATTAATGAATCACCTGCTCTTCTCCTGAACGGTTTCTGTTGTCCGGTTTGTCGAGTAAAATAACGTAAAACTAAAACACGTTCAAGTAAACGAATCGTTGCTATGGTAACCTGGGTGTGAACAACAGTTGTGTGTGTGTGTTGGGGATTGCATGCTGGATAATGCTACTATGCATGCGAGTGTACGTATAAGTATGGTTATTTGTGATGTATGTATGTTGTTTCTTTTCCTGTCCTTACCTTTTTGTAGAGTATGAGATGTTTTTGTTTTATTCTTTGATGGGCATTGTCTTTGGTCTTAAAACAGGAATATCGTTGGGTTATCTATAGATGTAGAAGACTTCGATACGGCTCTATTGGAGAAAATACGAGTTCACGTTTTCTTTCATTTATGCATCTTTATACGTGAGTGCAATTGTTGTCCATTATATAGCCGAGGTGCATTGAAGTGTTTAGTGTATACATACAAGGAATGTATATATGGTGTGAGGTGTACCGCTGTTAGAGGTATATGTTGTGATGAGTGAATTAAAGTGATGTATTATTACACGGTGCGCGCTAATATTGCAGAAGTTTTTAAAATCTTTTTTGCTTCTCTGTACAGATCGTATTCTGCTTGGAATAGCGCTGAGTTGATTACATTGTCGTGCTCGGTATTCCGGGGTTTCAGTTATTATATCAGATTTGTTTAGAAACCTTCACTGTGATTATATTGTTTGTTAGTTATTGTTGGGCCAGATAACTTACTGTAATACCCTAATGTATTCGGAAAAGTGATGAGCTTCGATGTAGTATACAAAGTAAAGAATAGATAACTGATACCGTTATCCTTGAGTTTTATTAAACTATCTGGTTGTACTTTAAATAAAAGCATCATCGACCTTCATCTTATAATACATTTTTTCTTACCTAATCTTGGTCTATTTTATAACAGTTTTTATCGGCTTTTATCTAAGTTGCTCGTTGGTAAAGTTATCCTTTAACTGTGACCTCGCTAAAAAAAGAGTAGATAATAAAATCGATAAAGTGAGAGATGGGTTTTTGTTTTTAGTGATGGTTCAGTGTGTGAGAAAATTGGTTTCTTTATTCGCCCACGTTTTTCCGGGGGTAGCGTTAAAAGATTGGTTTTATAGTCTTTGTGGCATTTTTTTCCTTTTTTGAGATCTTCTAGGACGTTCGTTTAGTTTTTTTTTCAGTCTCTTCGAAATCTATTTAGTGCACGTGTTCGTTGGATTTTCTTTTTTCGTGGAATTTTTTTTTTTAATAATTATTCAAGGTAATTTTTGTTTCATCTTCTTTTTTCGGTTTTTTTAAATAGTTGTTGTGCGGTTAAAATAAAACAATAACAAAAAGACAACTGTGAGATAATATTTCTTTAAAAAAAAGTGTATATATGGGACATGTTGAACATTGTGTGATGAAATGTGAAGGTGCAACGTTGCGCCCGGTGCGCACGCAGTATGGAAAGACCGTCACCAGAGAAGGATTACTGTATTTCACTGACGGATGCTTTAGCCGAGTTTCAAATCGCCGGACAGGACATTGAACAGGGGAACCAAAATCTTGACCAGGCTGCTAGTCACTCTGGCACTACAACTAGCCTAGGAGCAGAGTCTATAAATCAAGGTGCGTATTCGAATATCCTTCAACCAAAGTCTTCGAGTGAGGATATTTCTGTGAAGGATTTACCTACCAGCGCAGATTTTTCGGATTTACCCGATTCCTTTTTTAAACCCGGTACCAGCCGAGTCGATACTCATCGTCGGTATCGCGGCGACCGACTATCGGGTTTTCCCGAAGATACCTTACATCGGCAGACCGGTGACGCAAGCAAAAAGTTAGATGACACCTTGGGTTTAGATCTCGCGAGTCTTCACCCAATAAAACACGGCGTGGACAGTTTTAATCCAGTCCAAGTTAAAGTCGAAGACACAGATTGGTCAAGGTTGCGCGGCCTAGACCTTGGCGGACCTTTGGATTTATCTGGGTTGAGTGACGTGTCCGATGACGACACATCCGGTTTCGGTTTAGGTGATTTAAAGTTCGGGAAAGACATTCATGCCGAGTCATCAATGGCGTACTGCACAGACCGCCGACCTAGCTTTGGCGAAAGGTCATTCTCAGACCCTTTTGGTCGAATGTCCGACCTCGCGGATATCCAACCTATGGAGATAAGCGAAGAGTTACAATTGGAACTGAGCAGACTGCACGGAATTCCATCTTCCGCCCCCCGGAAGGACCTTCTACCGCTGAGCATCAGCGACGCCAATGTGATACGCGCCTCGGACATGTCGAGAAAAGCTAAGCCCACGGGCCAGCCCATGTTCTACCCGGTGACACCCTCGGCCTATCGCCTCCAGAAAAAAACCCGCTCCAGAATCCGAAGCCTAGGGCTGGAAAGCTCCCCCGGGCGAAGATCCCAGGACCGTCGGATTAAAAATATCGCCGCGTCATCCGCTGTGGAAGCGTCCCATGGGCGGTCACCGCGTCTTGAAAATCCTGTAGACGTTGGGATTAGTAAAAGCGGAATTTCGAAAAAATCACCGGAAGTGAGTGAATTCCGGGATGTGTATAGTCCGGATAAAGAGCGGTTAGCGTTTCCGGATGTTCGTTCAGACAGCGCCGTCTCGCCCGAGAGCTCACGGGGATCACGTGACAAGGACGAGGCGGTGGTGGAGAGCACCTCCCATGATGAGGACGTGGACTTTGATTCTGATACCTCGCCGGGATTTGGTGCGAGTGTAAGTTTTTTTGTCATGTCTGTACAATCATCTGTGTGATGCTGTTGGGTCATTACTTTCATCATCTCTGACATTGCTGTTTTCATCACTTTCATCATCTCTGACGTTGCTGGGTCATTACTTTCATCATCATCTGTGTGTGATGCTCGCTGGGTCATCATTTTCATCATCTCTGACATTGCTGTTTTCATCACTTTCATCATCTCTGACGTTGCTGGGTCATTACTTTCATCATCTCTGACGTTGCTGGGTCATCACTTTCATCATCTCTGGCGTTGCTGGGTCACTACTTTCATCATCTCTGGCATTGCTGGGTCATTACTTTCATCATCATTTTCAATATCTCTGTGTGATGTTGCTGGTTCATTACTTTATCATCACTTTCATCATCTCTGTGTGATGTTGCTGGGTCATTACTTTCATTATCTCTGTGTGATGTTGCTGGTTCATTACTTTATCATCACTTTCATCATCTCTGTGTGATGTTGCTGGGTCATTACTTTCATTATCTCTGTGTGATGTTGCTAGTTCATTACTTTATCATCACTTTCATCATCTCTGTGTGATGTTGCTGGGTCATTACTTTCATTATCTCTGTGTGATGTTGCTGGTTCATTACTTTATCATCACTTTCATCATCTCTGTGTGATGTTGCTGGGTCATTACTTTGATCATCTCTGTGTGATGTTGCTGGGTCATTACTTTTATCATCTCTGACGTTGCTGTGTCATTACTTTATCATCATCTCTGACTAACGTCGCTGGGTCATCAGATAGTTTCACATTCATCCTCTATTAGACCAATTATCAGGGTTTCATTTATACAAAAAATATGGTTATTTTGCCTCATTGCATTCATTGGCAAAATTGCATGTGTAAAGACATGTGTTACCAATTTGTTAATATAAAACGTATTAGTGAGCTTGAAGCTCGTGACTTATGTGATTACATAAACTCATCTCCAACCTGTTTTCACCGTTGTTGCATAAAAAATAAGTGATATTGCTTTTGGGTACTCTTGGTAGAAGGAATAGTTTGTTGAAGCAGTTAACTTGGGCTGTGTCGGAGCTGTAGACTTGTTAGCGGCTGTCGCTTGTGAGAGCTGTTATAAATATGTTCTGTTTGTAGCTGTAGATGTATGTCACACGTTTGTGTGGTTTGGCGTTGTAATGGGTTAGTGTACGTTTAAACACTTGACAAATTGTGTAAGTGGGATTCACCCATGGGTTAGATCTGCTTAGCTCCTGTAAAAATCAATACAAAGTTAGGTCCCTTGGTATTTGTTTTTAGGGTTTTTTTAAAATTCAGTTTTACTTGTAGGCGGTATCTTTAAAATTTTATTTTTTAAAAGGAAAAGCAATTTTAGTAAAGGTGGCTTTTTGTTCTAATTTCAACATCGGTCCGAATAGTTCTAATAGTGTAATACAGGGAGCAAGGGGGCGGTACTCCTAAACTAGGGAGAGGACAACTGAACCAGGGGAGGTAAACCGTGTACATTGGGTCGTAATTCGTATCAGTTGTCTAACCTGACCGTGTTTTGCCTAAGGCTAACCACGAATGCGTCATGTATTTAATGTTATACAATATGTGTGACATTTTCTAGCGTTGGATTTAAAAAAAAAATATATTACTAACCCCACCCCGCCCTTCCTATCTAAATATACACAAACACGTATGCAAACACACAAAGAAAATCGTATTAAAATAGTATTGATCTTAGATGACATGAAATCAATGATCATCTGTTTTCTCTCACCCGTTCAAGGAAAATAGCAAGTTAATGTATTTTTTTTTTAAATGAGTTTCTTACTAGTTTTAATTCGGCCTCATCTTCACATTAAGGTTGTGTTTACAAAAAAAAGAATTAACCTAAAAAAGTGTCCACGCTGTATTGATTTTAGACACACACTTTCATTACTTTGCTGACGGTTGATTAGTTTTCATTTTGTTTGCTGAGCTCTTGGACAAATTGGTGTACGTTTTCTTCAAGCTATGCGTTATTTATAACTGAATTGTATTGTCGACCTTGCTCGCAGGGGGCTTCACTCAGCTCTAATTCGTACCCTGCAGCAGATATATATATATATATATATATATATATATATATATATATATATATATATATATATATATATATATATATATATATATATATATATATAAATTAGTGTACTCTTCCTATTTATAGAATGGCTACAGGGCCTAATGGGATGTCTGAAATAAACATTTTTTTTTCCATTTTGCTTATATTTTTGTTAGTCTTTAAATTTAGCGAAATAGTGATTCAGCCTAATGACTTCATCAGACTGCTACTGCGTGTGTTTTTAAGCGCAAAAATTAAATAAATGAGTAGTTGTAAAGCATGGTTTAGGGTTGTATGTATACAAAGCATCGAATGGTATCAATGTATTTATCTCCCCTTTATGTTCTTGTATATTTATTTTGACAATGCTAAGTTTGACTTAAAAATAAACTTGTCGTAGAATTGCATAGACACATGTTTATGTATCTGTGTATATATCTTCTTTTTTGAAATTATATAAATATCATATCTAAATGCGAATAAATTGTTCAGCAGAATTGTACACATAGCTTGTTTCCGCTTTTTGGTAATGTTTTTGAAAGACTTAAAGCATCATTATGAAATAGTTTCAGACAACAGCCCAATGATTAATATTATTACTTTATAACCTACACGTTCTATTGGTAACCAACACAATATAGCAAGTTACAGAGTTAAACAATACACGAAGAATTATCCTTGCCGTAAGCTGTATCTCTGGCCTTAAAACAAATCAAAAACCTGGTATTATAAAACTACTCACAACTTATCACATCTCTTTTTGGGTGAGTCCATTGTTGGACACTGGTTTAAAAGGAATGAACCTCCATCTTTAAGGTTTCCATTCTTTGAGTGTTTTCGGCTTAAAGATAGCTCGGCATGTGTGGCTTGCCACAGGCGTGTGTGGTTGAGCACAGGCATGTGACTGACCACACACACTACCACTTGATTACACTGTCACTATCTGTTAACTCATCACCAATTTCAACATCAAATTTCCACTTTTAATTTTTTTTATAATATATATATTTGTCAGGATGTCACATGATCTTTATCTGATCTATGTATTTTGACACAATGGTCCCATTACGTGCTCTGATCTATGTATTTTGACACAATGGTCCCATGACGTCATTTGATCTATGTATTTATTTTGACAGGATGGCCCTCGTTGTTCATCAGTTTTATGAATTTATGTTGACAGAATGGCCCCTGTTCGCAGTCTGATTTTCCATGCTTACCCATAAAGTCCTTAATTTATCAACTTTTTAAAAAATCAAAAAAGTTGTATTTTCACTTTTTATTTATTTATGTATTTATTTTATGTTGACAGGATGGCCCCTGTACGTCGTCTGACCTGGCCCTATCCGCCATGAACGCCAACAAGAAAGACAAACTCTGTCTCGTGTGTGGGGATAAGGCCCTCGGCTACAACTTCAACGCCGTCTCTTGCGAGTCCTGTAAAGCTTTCTTTAGGCGGAACGCGCACAAAGTAAGATCATATCCGCTGACATTACTCTCTGTCCAGTAGAGTTAGGTTGTTTAGATGTGTTTGTGTGTTTATTATCTGAGTTTATTTAACTTCTAGTCAGCCTCAGCTCTTTCAATTCTGTTTACTTACAAGTTCTGAGTCATTAAAAATATGGTCTGTCATTGTTAAATTGTTCGAAGGGTACGATGCTATATTAATTAAAGTTACCCACATAAAAGAATAGAAGTGTGAGATATGATTTGTTGTGTAAATCAATGTAGTTTATAAAGAGTAGGTTTGTTACAAATATATTTTAACACTGTTTAATATGTATACATTGTTATAATGAATCGATGATCTTTGTGGGTTTTAATTGATATATTGGGGAACTTTGACCATTTATTCCAAGTCAGTGTGGGGGAGGGCGGGGGAATGAATTGTGTGTGGGGATTAATGAATTATCTTGGGGTTGTATGAATTGTGTATGGGTGTTTGAGTGTGTGTGTTCAATGAATTATGTGTGGATAGTGTGTGGGTGTTTAATAGTGTGTGGGTGTTTAATAGTGTGTGGGTGTTGAATTGTGTGTGGGTGTTGAATAGTGTGGGGGTGGTGAATAGTGTTTGGGTGTTTAATAGTGTGGGGGTGGTGAATTGTGTGGGGGTGGTGAATAGTGTGTGGGTGTTGAATAGTGTGGGGGTGGTGAATAGTGTGGGGGGTGGTGAATGGTGTGCGGGGTGGTGAATAGTGTGGGGGGGGTGGTGAATAGTGTGGGGGTGGTGAATAGTGTGGGGGTGGTGAATAGTGTGGGGGGTGGTGAATAGTGTGGGGGTGGCGAATTGTGTGGGGGTGGTGAATAGTGTGGGGGTGGTGAATAGTGTGGGGGTGGTGAATAGTGTGGGGGTGGTGAATAGTGTGGGGGGGGTGGTGAATAGTGTGGGGGTGGTGAATAGTGTGGGGGTGGTGAATAGTGTGGGGGGGGTGGTGAATAGTGTGGGGGTGGTGAATAGTGGGGGGGGGGGTGGTGAATAGTGTGGGGGTGGTGAATAGTGTGGGGGTGGTGAATAGTGTGTGGGTGTTGAATAGTGTGTGGGTGGTGAATAGTGTGGGGGTGGTGAATAGTGTGGGGGTGGTGAATAGTGGGGGGGTGGTGAATAGTGTGGGGGTGGTGAATAGTGTGGGGGCGGTGAATAGTGTGGGGGTGGTGAATAGTGTGGGGGTGGTGAATAGTGTGGGGGTGGTGAATAGTGTGGGGGCGGTGAATAGTGTGGGGGTGGTGAATGGTGTGCGGGTGGTGAATAGTGTGGGGGTGGTGAATGGTGTGCGGGGTGGTGAATGGTGTGCGGGGTGGTGAATAGTGTGGGGGTGGTGAATAGTGTGGGGGTGGTGAATAGTGTGGGGGTGGTGAATAGTGTGCGGGGTGGTGAATAGTGTGCGGGTGGTGAATAGTGTGGGGGTGGTGAATGGTGTGCGGGGTGGTGAATGGTGTGCGGGGTGGTGAATAGTGGGGGGGGGGGTGGTGAATGGTGTGCGGGGTGGTGAATAGTGGGGGGGGGGTGGTGAATGGTGTGCGGGGTGGTGAATAGTGTGCGGGTGGTGAATTATATGCGGGTGGTGAATAGTGTGCGGGTGGTGAATAGTGTGGGGGTGGTGAATGGTGTGCGGGGTGGTGAATGGTGTGCGGGGTGGTGAATAGTGGGGGGGGGGGTGGTGAATGGTGTGCGGGGTGGTGAATAGTGGGGGGGTGGTGAATGGTGTGGGGGTGGTGAATGGTGTGGGGGTGGTGAATGGTGTGCGGGGTGGTGAATAGTGGGGGGGTGGTGAATAGTGGGGGGGTGGTGAATAGTGGGGGGGTGGTGAATAGTGGGGGGTGGTGAATAGTGGGGGGGTGGTGAATAGTGGGGGGGGGGGGTGGTGAATAGTGAGGGGGTGGTGAATTATATGTGGGTGTTGAGTGATTATATTTTATCAAATCGAGCAGAAATTGTGTTGCTATAGTTACAGCCAGCATTATATTTCTCCATCCCCCACCCTAGGGACCCATGACGTCTAGCTATAATTTTTTAAAAGCATCTTTTATAAACAATCCACCAGAGCTAATTAGCAATTAAACAAATTGAAATTATGTTTAATTGGCAGCCTTCTCGCACAGTTCATTTATTTTGTGGAACCGATTAAATTATAAAATTCCCAGTCTGAACACAGACACAATATGTTATGATTAAACTAAATATGAGACAATTTATCAGACATAACTTTGTGCTTCTGTCATAGTGGGATTAAAAAGTGAATTTTATTTTACTTTTTTTTTCTACTCTCGAACTTTTGTTTCTATATGGCTTCTTTTAATTTTTCTTTTCCGCAACGTTTTCTTTTTAAGTTTATGTGAATTTTAATTATTTTTTTTTCTGTGAATTAACAAAAAGAAAAGAAAAACAACAGTCTTTACTTTTATAAGAGAATGTGAAACAGATGAGAACGGTCTAATTGTGGTTCTCGGTTTTCAAAGGATATAATCAATACAATAAGTAAAGTCAGAACTTAAAATAAATAAAACAGTATGTATAGTCATGTCTTGCTAACAGAATTTGAACAAGTTTTAACTGATAGAATTTTTTCAAATTTCAATGTTTTCCACATAAATATTTAGTTATTTACAGTAATATTGTTAAGGATGGGGGAAGTTGATATGTGTGATACAATATTGATATTGTATGTCTGGTGTGGTGTGATACTGTGAGTGGGGACGGTGGGGGTTGAACGTAGGCGAGAATGTGACAGTTTCCCCTCATGCACCTTGCTAGTTTCCCGTCATGTAGCTTGCTAGTTGATGAAAAAGTTTGTCAACAATGACAGATCTATTTTTGTTGCGAGCGTTTGATGTTGAAATTCAATATTTTAATTGCTGTGTGTGGACACTTTTAGACGTACTATATTTATCTATATGTTAGCTTTGCCTGTAATGGATTTTCTTTTTTTTTTTTTAAATAATTTAACTAAAGCTGTAACCCTAAACTTCAGCGTTGATACTAATGTAGCGGCCTTGAAGAATCTGTTTCATATTTTTTTCTTGGGTTTCTATTGCGTGGAGTGTTATTTCCCTTGGCATGACAATTCCTTTTGAGAGCCAGCCTTTGGTGTCTCCATGAAATTAGCCGGCTCAGGCCAGACCACGCCTGGTGTCCCCCAGCATTATAAAGGGCATGGCTCTTAAATAAATACGTTTGGCTCCTTGTATATTTATGAAAGTGGGGATGTCACTCTATCTTGTTTCCCCCCCCCCTCCACTCACCATTTCGTCACCTAAAACCATGTAAGTAAAAAGTAAAGTTTCCCTTTCAAACCTGACGTGACCTCGGCATATGAAGAGATAGTGTGGTCAGCAATATGCCCAGCCGCCTTTACTTTCCCTAACGTGAGTTAGGTACCCATCAGAGTTGGGTGGACTCAGGGACGGTCTACTGACTTGAACCCGGATTCGAACTCGAGACTTACGGGTTAGCAACCCAGCTCTCTACCGCTAGCAGATGCGTAGCGACCCTTCTCGGCGCCCGGGGACATACTTTCAATTTGGCGCCCCCCATCGGGAGCAAATTTTTCATTTGCACACCCCCCCTCGAACTTTTCATTTGCACCCCCCCTCAAACTTTCGATTTGCACCCCCCTCAAACTTTCAATTTGGCGCCCCCCTAAGGTCGGCGCACGGGAACATATGCCTCGTCCCCCCCCCCCCCTCGCTACGCCTCTGTCCGCTAGACCACTCCGTCCCAAAGCCATGCCCGCTCTCAACTAGCGTCATAAAGCTCTACCCTATCCTTCTCACTTACTAACAAAAGTGAACTTGGTTTGCATCGTTTTCGTCCGTGTACACAATGTTTAAGTCACCCCCACCCACCCACGGACCACCACAGCGTTCTGAACTCCGCAAGTTCTTACCAAGTGTAAAATCACATCCCCCCTCCCTCCTCAGTCTTTAGCTATCATTGTAGTTGCCGCTTTTATTACCCCTACCACCCCCACCCCCTTCCAAATACCTTAGGAATGTCGGCTATTTCAAAGCACATTAAAAACCAAAGTATATCTGTGTTATGTGTATCAGTATGTGGCCCTCCACATATTCAAATCACCGGGGTTTTTTTTTGTTATTTTTTTTTATAACTTAAAAGTTTTTATTGTAGCATTAACGATGGCTCCCAAATGTTTCTAATCCCTGTTGCATGTTGGGAAAATCTGCACTGAGACAGTTAAAAACGGTTGATTGTTTTTGTCTGCAGGTGATACGAGGCAGGTGTGAGGGCAAGTGTCAGGTCACCGTGGAGTCAAGGTCGTTCTGCAAGCGGTGCCGCCTGGCCAAATGTTTCACAGTCGGCATGAGGAAGGACATGATACTCAGTGAGTCACGTGACTTTCGACTGGAAACTTTTTCTTCCTCCATCGTTTTTATTTTTTTATTTTATCTTTTCGTAACATTTTTAACATGATATTGAGTCACGTGATGTTGTAGGTTTCTTATTACATCGTGTTTCTTTTATTTCAGTTTTTGTTTTTCTTAACATTTTTAAAAGAATTTGTTTTTTTTTTTTAATTTTAAAGAAGGTTTCTTTTTCGTTATTAAATTATTTTTTTATTAAATTAAAATTAAGAAAAATCTCACCAAATTTTACATATACAAGATAATGCAACACATCTCTATTTTTGTCTCACATAATGCAAGATATTTAAGTTTTGACGAGAAAATAATTTCCCCTATATAATATCTTAAAATTATTTTATCTCCATTAATTTCTCCTGTCGTCTGCCCGCAGATGACGAACAAAAAAAGCAACGCAAGCAGAAGATCATCATCAACAAGCTGCGGCGCCAGGGGCACCTCCCGCCCCAGGACACGTACTCCGCCTCTGCCAAAGACCTGCTGTCCCCCATCCGCGGTATGGTCGCCCGCAACCCCGACAAATTCCTCGCCTCCTACAACGCATTCAGCCCGCCAGAGGTCATGGTCAAACAGGAGGTCATCGACTCCGTCAACAGCCCGGGGTCAGTGGCGTCCCCCCCTGGGGCAGCTTCGTACCAGCATAGCAGCACCGGGGGTTCCTACCCCACCCCTGGTCCCCAGCCTGAGGCTGTTATTTCCTACGCTCCTTGGGAGGAGAGCAGAGATGTGGTTCAAGCTGCGATTACGTCTATGAGCGAGAGGGATCAGTTTCTGATTAACGAGCTTCTTCGCGCTATGGAGAGCAGCAGTTTCCTAGCTATGACGCAGACGTCTATGAAAATGATGCCTTCGAACCCTGAAGAGTTTGTCAACATTGCCGAGCTCTTTGTTCGGAAAGTTATCAAAGTCGCGAAGAACATCACCTTCTTCAAGCAGCTTCACAAAGACGATCAAATCGCACTGCTGAAAGGCTCGGTTGTGGACATCATGATGCTGCGGTCTGCTGTGAACTATGACCCCTTCACGGAGTCGTGGAGTTTGAGCACTAAAGGTTGTATCAACCAAGGGGCCAGTCAGGCAGCCGGCGAGCGGATAAGCGCAGAGATTCTCAAATCGGGTTCTTCTGAGACGAAGCAGCTGTTTATGACTTACAGCAAGTTTATCAAGTCCCTGATGTCCACTATACACGGGGACCTTCTTGTGCTTAAGCTTCTCATCCTCATGTCCCTGTTCTCTGGTAAGTTGAGAGGTAGTTTCTGGTGACCACTGATATACGTCTACGTCCTTAGCTATAGAGACAAATGTATGTTAAAGTATATTCTGGAGGGTCGGCGTGGTCGAGTCGGTAAAGCTCATGTTTGCTAAACCGAAAAGTCTCGAGACAACTCCAAAATCAAACAACTGCTGCCTTGTAGTTTGTTCTTGGTTGGACAAAGGCTATGGAAGCAAATTCAAAAAGAAAAGCAGGCTGAAATCTGAGTCAATGGCCTCAATGGCGCATAACCAGTTGACATGTATCCTTAATTGTGATGGAGGCGTGGTCGAGTCGGCAAAAAACTCATGGTTGATAAATTCGAAAAAGTCTCGAGTTCAAACCCTCTGGCAGATAAGGCTCGATCCCTTCCAACACTAAAAATTAAGAACGAAGAAGTATATTCTGGTAAAGGTCTATGTCCTTAGCTACAGAGACACTTGTACCTATGTGAAAATATACTCTGGTATAAAAGTTTTATGCTACAGAAAGACTAGTACCTGAAGTATACTCTGGTATAAACAAGTCCATAGCTACAGTTTCAGTCAAAGATTTGTTTCTGTTTTTGTTTTGTAGCTGTTACTATTGATTTAACCCTCCAGTGATTTGCTATTGATTCTATTGACCAACCCTTTAGGGGTGTAAATTGATGCCGTTGGTTTACTGCTTTATTTGACAGCATTGATTAAACCCCCTGAATTACAATTTAGCCGTTTTAGCTATTAAGGCCACCATAAATGATTTTTATTTTTTTTATTTAAGATATTCCATTTTCTCTTTGAAAAAATCTCCACCACAATTGTTAGTGAAAACTCTAAAACCTCACTTTACAGTCTTTAAAGATAGTTATAGTTTCTTGAAATTTGTAATTTTTACCAGGGAAAAGCCTGAAAATCTATTTGATTAGTTGTCATGAGGATGTCAGCAGGCATGCCTAACGTCATGGCATTTGTCTGTCAGTATTGCTAACGCATAAAAATATTTTATACTGCGGTTCTGCATTTAAAAAAAGAATGTGAAATGAAAACCGATAAAAAATGGGATTTTTTTTTAAAAGTAAGCACGTTTCCCTTTCCTGGCTCATGTATTTCATGAAACATGACAGCAATCAGAATCAAGGACTAGGAAATCAAAGCATTTAACTAAAAATGTAAAGAAAACAGTAGGCTGTTACATTTAGATTGTTTATCTAATACTATAATGGGCTACGTTCGCACATCTCTCTCTCTCTCTCTCTGTCCGCAAAAATTTTTCGCCGGACATCACGTCAGAAACGGCAGCGATATATGGAGAACTTTATACGGACTTTTGTTGAAAATAATATGTTAGATGTTTTAAATGTATAACCACAATTTTATTTAAAGAAGAAAAATAAAAAATCAAGGCGTATTCGAATATAGAGAAACAGTATTATTTATGCAACCGGAAAAGCATTAATAGATATGTAAAAGAACGCATAAAACTGTGACGACACTATTGCTTACTAATGACGTCATCTGCCGTGTTTAAAATAAAAAAGAAATGAACTATTTCATTCAAATTTGATTTAGATCTACGTACACTATGAAATGTATACAATACAATTTTTCCGGCCTAAACTCATAACATTTATTTATACAAAATCTTTGTTTGGAACTGGCTAATTTGGGATAAAAAAATTAATTTGAAAGAATAGGCATATTCGCGTAAGTTAAGATTTTAAAATACGTCTTTCATTCTCTGAATTTTATAAGGTGCCTAAATAGCGGAGATGTTAGTGTACTATAAACCACGCAGGTGGTGCGGGTTCGAGACCCACCAAGTCAACTTGGTTAATGTATTTTTTTTTTATTTTGCTCGGACTAAACTTAAAAAAAAAAATTCAATTAGGATTCTAGATCTAGATTGTCGGGTGTCCGATAAGGCACTTCCCGGCGCCGCAGGCGCTTCAAATTTGGCAGGATCTTGCCTTGGGGCGACATAACACAGGGGCCGGTTGGCCGAAAAGTCTACGATGAGGGGGTCAAAACTGACCTCGACTGACCGGTACCTTATATGAGCTATAAATCGAAAAAAAAATGTCCACGGAGGAACCTCTTCATAACTCTTGAGGTCGTAGACCGACCCTATGGCGAATTAATTAAGCATTCACATTCTCAATGTTTTCGAAAGCCTAAGCGAAGCTGGGCAGCATGCCTAGTAAATAAAGAAATCTGCTTTCCATAACAAAATAGCATACCAACAAAATGTAAAAGATAATTCGATTAGTTTTGTAAAATTGATAAAAAAGTCTTAAAGAACCCCTTGTTTTATAATTTATCAGTAGACTGTTTTTAAACATGAAGAATTATTTTATTAAATTTGCACTTTTCAAAAAAAATTTTTTTTCCGAAATATAGCTTTTCATTAAAAAAAAATATTTTTTTTAGTTCAAATTAAGCTAGAAATATGAATTTGGTTTCCATGGAAAGTAGTCACTCTCCTCTATCTCAACAAATTCTGTACACTAGGCTTACTTCATATATTATGTTATTGTAATAGAAGCCATAAGTTAACATCCTTTATAACTATCTTCCACAGCTGACAGATTGCCTATGGTTGACCACGACAAGGTACAGGAGATCCAAGAAACGTACGCCCGTATCCTGGAGGAATACGTTGGCCACCGGTTCAACCAGGAGGCCACGCTGTTCGCCCGTATTGTCATGAAGCTGACAGATCTCCGGAACATTAACGAGGTCCACTCTAAGATGCTGCTGTGTATGAAGGTGGACGAGTTCGAGCCCCTGCTTCTCGAAATATTTGATCTCCCGACTGACGCCGAGGGCGGTTTCTTTTCTAGCCGAGCCACCCAATACTCAGAGATGGCGTCGTCTACGGCGCCGTCGTCCACGCGGTCACCCCCTTCTTCCTGATGTGGGACTGACGTCATATTGTGACTTATAAAAATGACTGACGTCATATTGTGACTTATAAAAAAACGACGAACCATGTTTAATATGAACCTTCCTGATGGTGACTGGTGACTTATAAAAGTTAACCATATTTAACAAGAACTGGGGTTTTTGTGTTTAAAGTGTTGAAACTGGATGTATATATTTAATTTAACCTCTCAAACATAGTTTTACATTTATATTCTCCATGGAAGTTCTCATCTACTCTGCTTCACCTTCCTGATACTCGACTACAGGCTCTACGATTTGAAAGGCAAAGGAATTAACAGTTCTTTCATTGTTTATATTTGTTGTAATATGAATGGTTGATTTGTTAAATTTTGGTTGTACTTTTTAAAAGTTCAAGTATTTTTCTTGTAATGTTTTGATGTAATGGAGGTAATGTTAAACAATACTTTGTAACTAAAATTGTTTATGTATAGTTGTATGTTAACATATAACATAAGTTGTATTAAAGTAACTAATAATTCATTATTTTCAATGTTACTGCACATTTTTCTTCACTGTGCTTTTCAGTATTTTTTTTACACAAAGCTGGGTCTTAAAAATTTAGTTTGAAAAGCCCAAAGGTAGAGGAGCTTGTTATGTAAAAGAATGCAGATTTTATTGAAACATGGTATCTTTATCAACTAGTTGCGTGAAATAAATTCACCTCAATGCTGAGCTCATATTCTAGAGGCTACTTTACCTCATAGAGGTGGTTATATTTTTTTTTTTCAATTGTGTTCACAGCCTTTTTCTTGTATATGTATGGAACTCAAAGATTTCAGCCGCACCACATATTTTTTATCTGGCAAGGTTTTTCCTATTTCTAATAAAGTCTATAATTACTCTAATGCTGAGATATCTCACTGGTTGAAAATTAAATTTTCTGTCTATTAATTTTCTTGGTACTTTTTTATTCTAGTTTTTTTTTTATTTATTAAATCCTTTTCGGCACTCCTTTTGTAAACTGGTCATATTGAAAAAAATGTGTGCTAAAATTGATTTCCATTGAATGGAGATTAACTTGACTGTACAGACTTTGACTATTGTGTAGAGAAAATTGTTGCTGTTACATTCTGTTAGATATAACCAGGCCTATTATTCAACTCCGGTTTCTATGTAGGTCCTATATTTTCTTAAAGTTTTTCCACCACTATTTGATACATATGTAGGCTATATTTTTTTTATTCTCAATTTTGTTGGCCTCTTTTTTTTTAAATTTACCAAATTAAAAAAAAATTGTTTTGTTTAGATGTAGGGACAGTTAATTCAGTAAATTTGAATTATTCTTGAAGATCAGCTGTTTTGTGATGGAACTGGTTGGCCCAAACTTGAAAGTGCAGCTCTTGTAAAAAAAAAAAACCTGGCTCTATAGAGCATTTTCTTGCCAGTTTGCATTGTAAACTTGGTCACCACTAAAATTGTGGGGTGGGATTTTAATGTGATAAACGTATCTTTGTACTTGTGAATTCTATTCAGTGTGTGTTCAATATTTATTGTAACTTAATGTCTGATTTTGTTGTTTGTGACCAAAATGTGTTGCCATACCTGGGCTGTTTATTCTTTTTATGTAGCTGCTAGTGGAGTGATATGACCAAATGGTGTTTCCATAACTTGAACTGTGTGTTTAATATTTACTGTACTATAGGCAGTGTGATTTTTTTAATGTAGTCTTTGGTAGTGTGATATTTGTCTTTTTTAACCAGAATGTGTTTCCATAACTTGGACTGAATATTTCCTGTTGTCATTGGTGGAGTGATATTTGTGGTTGTTGACCAGAATGTGTTGCCATAACTTGGACTAGAGCCTTGACTACTTGTTAGAAGCTTTTCATTCCAGATCAGTTCAAACTATTTGCCTCATCTCCTTGTGATAATCACCTTGAATATTTATTTCTTCACCTCTTCTGCATGGATTCCGGAGAATATCAAATATTTCACAAATTCTTGTTACTCAGTGAAGGAACTAACTCTATAGTGTTAGTATCGGTGTGTACAAAATATGGAGTGGAATTTCCAAATGAAACAATGAATTTTTAAAATTGATATTGTTATTGGATAATTTAGTCTACAGTTGGTGACTGTTTCAGAAAACATAATACAATGAAGTTACATTTTTTTTTAAAAATAAAATTTCAAATGAACATATTTAGCATTTTTTATAATAATTTTTTTTTTAAATGCAGAAATTGAGGAATTTTTCAGTATCTCTTAAAATGTTGCCTTATTTTCTGAAATATTTATTAAGGTTCTTAACACTTAGTATTGGATTGCTAGAAATTTTATAGGTCTTAAACTAAATGTTCGTTATTATATTTTTTTTCGTTTAACTTTTTTATGTAAATCTTTAGACTTTTTAAATGTTTTGGTAGTTAAATGAATAATTATCTGGCAACAATGTCATACAGGTTAGTGTGTATTAGCGCACCTTTCCACAAAGCAGGGCCATAATTAAACCTTTTCCATATCAGCCCTCTGCTGGCCATGATATCACCACACCTGATTTTATCACCACACCACCACACCTGGTTGTAACACCACACCACCACACATGGTTGTAACACCACACCACCACACCTGGTTGTAGCACCACACCTTACAATAAAACCTGTTAAAGTGAAGTTTTGATTCTATTTCACAAAAACTAGCTCAAAGTCTACCTCGTTTTTTTTTTTTTTTTTTTTTTTTTTTTTTTTTTTTTTTTTTTTTTTTTTTGACTTTTAAAAATTCCCATCAGGTTCTGATCCAATCATAAATCACTTCCCTAGAACCACACTGATCTAAATCCTTTTTTTTTTTTTGAGATTTATACACTGTTGGGTTTTAAATCCACCAAGGCACCATTGCAAAAAATTTCTTACCCATATTTTGCGCCATTATTTTACAATATTTTTTTTTAAAACTTTAATGTTACAAAATCTTTAATATAGAAATGTGAAGGAAAACAAAACTTATAATCCGTGTTGTGAACATTTTTTGAAAAGTGGAGTTAGAACAGTCCGGTTCTAGTGAAGCGATGTTTCATAGGTTTTCAAATGATTATCTTTATAGATAACTCTCATTCATAAAAATATTTCAGGGAAATATATCTTTATTCTACAAAGTTGTCTTGTAATTTTACTTTTGAGTTCAATTTATATTTATAGCTTTCTTTATTTGTTGGAGTGTGTTAAACTATAGGACATATATAAGGTACCTGCTGGTGATATATGACTTTCTCTGTTCATGTTTAGTTACTCAAATTATGTCTGTTAAGTAAAAACAAGATATGAATAAATGGGGCTCAATTTTTTTTTTAGATATATCTTTATGTTGTGTGTAAAAAAAAAGTTTAAAAGAAATGAAATTTACCTCTTTTTTTTAGCTTAGGATCCTATTTACATGTGTTGTGTAATAATTAATTTCACGTTGGTATTCTTTAATTAAAGGGCAACAATTCATATCATATATTCTGCTCAATAATTTTTTATTAGAAAATATCATAGCTACATTGGCCGTCAGTATGAGGAATTTTAATTACATATGTTTCTGTTCTCAATTCTGGCAATGATATTTAAATAGTAATACTAAATATTGTTGCAGTTGATAATGCCTGGATGTATATTTTTTCTAAAAATTTACTTTCAATAATTGGCCTTTTTTTTTTTAGTTTTATAAGCTTTTTTTTTAAACTATTATTGAATATTTTTTAGTCATAATCATATTTACTAGTTTCTTTGTGCAGATATGGAATTTGTTAATTCAACAGAGTTTTTAAGATGCCTGATTTAAAATTCCTGATGGTAAGCTTTAAAACTTAATAACTGAGAAAATTATTTTTATATAGTGCCTTTTTCTTATATTAACGAGCCATTAAAATAATTCTAAAGCTTTAGTCTGTGGCTGTGAGTCAATCAAAAAAAACATTGGTAAAAAAAATAATTTCAATAAAATCTGCTAAAAATAGAATCTTTATAACTTCTTGTACAAACTGGTTAATTATTTACAATTAGATAAGAGATTTATTTTTCTAACAAAACATGTTTTGAACTTTTAAAATTTTCCTGCTTCTCATTTTATTTTTTTATATTTTTTGCATACCAACTAAATAATTTTTTTTTGTAAAATATTTATTTTAAAAAACCAATATATTTAATATCAAATACAAATTATTTGATTCATTATTTTGTTAATATTGTTGTGTTGTTGCTGTTTAAAACTAAAAACCAGTGAGTTTCTTTTCAACTTACTTGAGCTCTGTTTATATTTAGCTTTGATACATTTGAAACAGTTATTGAATATTGTTAAAAGCCTTAGAACTGCAGAACATAAACCTCAGATTTTGTTGTTTTTTTTTTAAATTACAGCATATACAAATTGTTTGGGTTGTGCTTTGATCATATTACACCATGTTTGGTAGTCATGTGATCACTGTATTAGTGTCATTTATGGCCAGAATATGTTGACCTGTAAAAATAAAAATAGTCTAAGGGGGGTAATTGATTAACTGGCAAGAATATTTTTTTCACTGATAAGTGAGACATAGTCAAAGAGAGGTAACCCAATATAAAAATGTAGTTCAAGTTTTATTCTTATATATTTGTAACTTGCCTTTAGTGTAAAAAATTGTTTGGGGTTATTGTCTATTTGAGTGTTATTATTATAACAAGTAAGAATAATCAGTTTCAACAAAACAAAATAATTATAAAATATATTACGAATCAATTATAAAAAATACAATTAATCAACATTGTCATTTTTTAATAATTCAAACTACAGTTTTTATATATTTGTTTCAAAGTTCATATTTGTTGGAAAGTTCATTATTAATATCCATGTATGAATGTAGTGTCCATGAATGTTTCACCGTCATTGAAGTAGGTTGCGGAACATATTTATCACTTGGTCAGTGACTTTCTTTGTATTGTCTAAACCGGTTGCAGGCATTTGCTCAATTTCTTGTACAGGGAAAGTGTTGTTCTACTTTATGGGCTTATTATGATGGGCTCTATATAATTCAAAGTTTTATAAATCTTACCTTAGGCTGGACATAGATTTTTTTTTCATGAAACTAACCACACTGTTTTTTTAATGACATCTAAAAATAATTATTTCATTCTTTATTTCATCTGGTTGATAATTTGTAGAAATGAAAAATATTCAATTAATTTTTTTTTTAAATTAATGTTAAATTAATTTTATTGCTGTAAAATTGTTAGATTTAAAATTGTATGACCTTTTTAAATTGTTTTTTTTCTTGTGCATGATAATTTTATAAAGTCATGAAAAGTTGCATTAGACATCTTGCATCCACTTCATAGGTTTTCTTGTACATCAGTCATTCATTTAACACTAAGCAGTTTTTTTTAAAAATAAAACTGTTTAAGGGGAGGTAATTTTGTTTGTTAGAAATTTATTTGTAGTAAATCAGATGTTCATTGTTACCTACTTTTTTTAATTCAATGAAATAGTGAGTTAAAAATTATAGAAGTTGTGTTTATATAAAAAATTATACAAGTTGTATTTATATTATCTGCTCAATTTAATTTTCATTTACTTTCATGCTATCAATGAGTTGCCTCCCTTGTACACTACTCCAATCATTATGTGTGGGATATGGAGATGTATGATGTTCACTTGATAGGATTTGATATTTGACTGCATATGAGCTAGCTTTGTACGGTTTTGTTTTTGAGAAGAATTCATTAACAAATTTTGTAGTTAAAAGGCAATAGTATTGCCTTGTAAAATATATTTTTTCTTTGTTTTTTTTAATTACTATCTCATGTTGGTAAAATAGCTGTGTAAAGTTAAATGTTTCTTTTTTTTTTTTGTACAGATTAAACAGATCTTTTCATTGCTACTAATATTATGACCATGTTCTATTGTTCTTTTTGTTAGCATTAATCCATAAAATAATTCATTGTATTTCTTGTGTGACGCTGTTGAATTGTGTGTGTGTTTAGGAATTATGACATTGGCCCTGCACTGCTGTTTTGGTTGGTTAAATTTATCATAAAAAAATGTGGATTGGATCTATAAAATAAGTGTCTTATTGGATGGATTGGAATTGATATTACTGATTTCACAATTTAATAATTTTTGCATTATTTTTTTAGTTGTTTTAAAAAATACTGGTTTTGAAAAAACAAATTACTTTAATCAGTTTATTTAAATTAAGGAGAATGGAGGTTTTGAGCTACTTGAAAATGCCTACAAAGTTAAAAAAAAAACATGTTACAAAGCTTATGAAAATTATTCTTGAAATACTGTATTAGACCTATTATATTACTGGATTATTTATTTAAAGGATATTATTCAAAGAAGAAAGGGGAGATGACACTGAAAGATAGTGTGATTATGAATAAAAGGAAATGAAAGAATTAAGTCTATTTAATTGGGAACATGGTAGTCTTGTAGTGTACTGTTGGTACAAATAGAAAAAGTTGAAAAAAATATTATTGTAAGTTATTAATAAAGTTATAATTCATTGTATAAAAAACATTCTTACTTAAATAACTATGCCGCCACTCATATCTTATATAATATATATTTATTTTAAAATAGTTTAAAATAAATATGTATTATATATTTACTATTTATTACATATGTCTCTATTGTTTCGTTAAATTTAATTATTAGATCACAGTTTTCATGATTGTTAAACTCACACACTTCTAACATTAAAAATCCTGGATCTTCAAGTAAAATCAATTATTTTTAACATAACATGTTGTTATTGTTAGTAGTGTTTCATTTTTTTTTAAATTACATTCTCGTGGCCTGTTATGTTTTTTATATTAGTGATTTTGTTTTGTTTTGTCTCTTATTCTTTAATCTTTTTGAATTGTACTGGTAATGTTAAAAACTACACTGGAAGGACGATTGTACAAATAAAGTATAAAACGACGAAACATGTTGTTCTGTGTTATTATTCTTTGTGTTGTGGATTCATGTGTATAAAATATTAGGGGAATCGGTTGTCTAGCCTCTAGCCCTTGGGGCTCATTTTTTACTGCAGCGAAATGAAAAAAAAATATGTACATAGAAAATGTAAACTTTATCAGCGTCCTCCCCCAACATCGCCAGTTATAAATGTATCACCTCGCCCAAAGTGTCTCACACCCCCTCCCAGTCTACCCCACTAATTTGCTTTATGCCATTATACGTATGGACTAAGGAAAACAACCAAGATAATATTATTTAAGTGATTTGGGGGGGGGGGGCTTTAGGGCCCACCTCCCTGGAGTATTAACGAAAACGATTGGATGAAAAATATTATTATGAATATAAAAAGAGAGAAAAAATAACCCACAGACAAAATTTATATATATATATATATATATATTTCTAATAAACGTTCTAGTTTTAGAATGAATTCAAAATGCCATTTATACAAATCTATATTACTTTTATTTTAGTGTACGCAAAGGCTTGCTGAGCTCTACGTGATTTATTATTAAACATAAATTAAGCAGAAGTAAAATGTTTCACAGGTAATGTATATTTATTGAAACCGCACACATAAATGATGGTGAATGTATTGAATACAAGCTAGACCATCCCATCTTAGAATAGGGGTCATCCATAAATGACGTCACGCTTTTTTAAACGATTTTTACCCCCCCCACCCCCCTCCCCGCTTCACTCCGTCACAAATCATCACACGTCGTCACAAAAAGCCAGACCCCCCCCCCTTAAATGACGTCACACCTCAACCTACAACCCCCCTCAAAATTGCAGTTGAATTTTTTTTAAACTTCGATATTTTTCTAAAATTTTGTCTAAACTATTAAAATTTATTAAAACAGTAATTTAAAACGCGAAATAACGTCTAAAATTCGTTTTCTAACATTGCTTTTTTATAATGCAAAAGTGTGACGTCGCAACATCTGAACACCCCCCCCCCCCCCATCCCCCTCATCACACATCGTCACAAAATTACGGACCCCCCTCCCCCATACGAGTGTGACGTCTTTCATGGATGACCCCATATTCATATATATACATATACATACATATATATATATATATATATATATATATATATATATATACATATATATATATATATATACATATATATGTATATATATATATATATATATATATATATATATATATATATATATATATATATATATATATATATATATATATATATATATATATATATATTGCTGTATTTTTAAGTTCTGAAAGACGTAAGAAAATAAAAACGATTGTATGACATGCCAAGTTTCGAATAGATTAAAGGGGAATCATACCCCCCCCCCCCCCCACCACCACCTCCCTACATCCCTTAGCCTACGCCTCTGGTGATACAGACATTGATATCGCCATTGTGCAGAATGAGCTAGCTACCAATCAAAACACGACACATGAGATTCAGGCTTGTGCGACCGACCAATCAGTACTTATCATCGCACGAGTTTATTCATCTGCATTTAATGAACAAGTGGCCAGCCTCACTAGTAAGTTGTATTTTTTTTTTTTAATTTTATGTTTTCTACACTTTCAAACATTGGACTTTTCATTAAAATAACGGATCAATGTATAATTTTCAAACCCAGTTTGATGGAATGGGGTGGTCGAGTAATAGAGCTAAGGAGTCCTCCAATCTTAGAAAACGAATTTTAGACGTAATTTCGCGTTTTAGAAAACTGTGTTAATAAATTTCAATAGGAATTGATTAAAATACTCTATTTTGACAGAAATCAGACAAGATTTTGGAAAAATATATCGATGTTTTAATAAAAAATCAACAGCAATTTTGAGGGGGGGGTGGCGGGTTGTAGGCTGAGGTGTGACGTCATTTTAGGGGGGGGGGGTCTGGCTTTTTGTGATGATTTGTGACGGAGGGGAGGGGGGAGGTAAAAATCGTCAGAAAAAAAGCGTGACGTCATTTATTGATGACCCCCCCCCCCCCTAATTGTTGTTAATACAGTTACGGGCCTGTTATTAAAATAGTGCTGACTGCGCAATACATTCTTATGTATTGATAAATGAAACAGACCGACTTAATTAGACAAAATACGTATTTCGTCTTATGTATTCTTTATCTTTCTCTTGTATATTAAATACACATATTTAAACACTTTTGAACGATGGTCACTGTAATAAGCATAGCTAAATAGAGAGGCGTCACAAGGGGGTGCGCGGTTGTAAACACCCCCACAGGTCTTCGTCATGAAGGTGAGATATTTACGTCACAAGCATGCGCGTTAGAGTTTGTCGACGGATTGATGTTAGATACAAAATTTGTGTTTTTCTAAGTAAACCCCATTGAGGTAAAGCCCCTGGCCATAAAGCTAATTAGCATTAAGTCCTTTGATATAAAGCTAACTGAGATTAAGTCCCTTGACATAAAGCTAACTGAGATTAAGTCCCTTGACATAAAGCTAACTGAGATTAAGTCCCTTGACATAAAGCTAACTGAGATTAAGTCCCTTGACATAAAGCTAACTGAGATTAAGTCCCTTGACATACAGCCCCTGGAGATAAACATCCTGGACATAATGCCCCTGGACATTATCCCTTCGACATAAGCCCCTTGGACATAAAGCCCAACGGACACAGCCCCTGGGCAGTGAGACCCTTGGCATAAAGCCTCTTTAAATAAAGCCCCGGAGCATATAACGACTAAAGAGAAAACGGGACATAAACCCCTCCCACTGGACATAAATCCCCTGGAGATAAAACAACATACCTCTCACACTGGACATAAATCCCCTCGAGATAAAGCAACATACCTCTCCCACTGGACATAAATCCCCTGGAGATAAAACAACATACCTCTCACACTGGACATAAATCCCCTGGAGATAAAGCAACATACCTCTCCCACTGGTCATAAATCCCCTGGAGATAAAGCAACATACCTCTCACACTGGACATAAATTCCCTAGAGATAAAGCAACATACCTCTCCCACTGGACATAAACACATGGAGAAAGCAGCATACCTCTCCCACTGGACATAAATCCCCTGGAGATAAAGCAACATACCTCTCCCACTGGACATAAATCCCCTGGAGATAAAGCAACATACCTCTCACACTGGACATAAATCCCTTGGAGATAAAGCAACATACCTCTCCCACTGGACATAAATTCCCTAGAGATAAAGCAACATACCCCTCCCACTGGACATAAATCCCCTCGAGATAAAGCAACATACCTCTCCCACTGGACATAAATCCCCTGGAGATAAAACAACATACCCCTCCCACTGGACATAAATCCCCTGGAGATAAAGCAACATACCCCTCCCACTGGACATAAATCCCCTCGAGATAAAGCAACATACCTCTCCCACTGGACATAAATCCCTTGGAGATAAAGCAACATACCTCTCCCACTGGACATAAATTCCCTAGAGATAAAGCAACATACCTCTCCCACTGGACATAAATCCCCTCGAGATAAAGCAACATACCTCTCCCACTGGACATAAATCCCTTGGAGATAAAGCAACATACCTCTCCCACTGGACATAAATTCCCTAGAGATAAAGCAACATACCCCTCCCACTGGACATAAATCCCCTGGAGATAAAGCAACATACCCCTCCCACTGGACATAAATCCCTTGGAGATAAAGCAACATACCTCTCCCACTGGACATAAATTCCCTAGAGATAAAGCAACATACCTCTCCCACTGGACATAAATCCCCTGGAGATAAAACAACATACCCCTCCCACTGAACATAAATCCCTTGGAGATAAAGCAACATACCTCTCCCACTGGACATAAATTCCCTAGAGATAAAGCAACATACCCCTCCCACTGGACATAAATCCCCTCGAGATAAAGCAACATACCTCTCCCACTGGACATAAATCCCCTGGAGATAAAACAACATACCCCTCCCACTGGACATAAATCCCCTGGAGATAAAGCAACATACCCCTCCCACTGGACATAAATCCCCTCGAGATAAAGCAACATACCTCTCCCACTGGACATAAATCCCTTGGAGATAAAGCAACATACCTCTCCCACTGGACATAAATTCCCTAGAGATAAAGCAACATACCTCTCCCACTGGACATAAATCCCCTCGAGATAAAGCAACATACCTCTCCCACTGGACATAAATCCCTTGGAGATAAAGCAACATACCTCTCCCACTGGACATAAATTCCCTAGAGATAAAGCAACATACCCCTCCCACTGGACATAAATCCCCTGGAGATAAAGCAACATACCCCTCCCACTGGACATAAATCCCTTGGAGATAAAGCAACATACCTCTCCCACTGGACATAAATTCCCTAGAGATAAAGCAACATACCCCTCCCACTGGACATAAATCCCCTCGAGATAAAGCAACATACCTCTCCCACTGGACATAAATCCCCTGGAGATAAAACAACATACCCCTCCCACTGGACATAAATCCCCTGGAGATAAAGCAACATACCCCTCCCACTGGACATAAATCCCCTCGAGATAAAGCAACATACCTCTCCCACTGGACATAAATCCCTTGGAGATAAAGCAACATACCTCTCCCACTGGACATAAATTCCCTAGAGATAAAGCAACATACCTCTCCCACTGGACATAAATCCCCTCGAGATAAAGCAACATACCTCTCCCACTGGACATAAATCCCTTGGAGATAAAGCAACATACCTCTCCCACTGGACATAAATTCCCTAGAGATAAAGCAACATACCCCTCCCACTGGACATAAATCCCCTGGAGATAAAGCAACATACCCCTCCCACTGGACATAAATCCCTTGGAGATAAAGCAACATACCTCTCCCACTGGACATAAATTCCCTAGAGATAAAGCAACATACCTCTCCCACTGGACATAAATCCCCTGGAGATAAAACAACATACCCCTCCCACTGAACATAAATCCCTTGGAGATAAAGCAACATACCTCTCCCACTGGACATAAATTCCCTAGAGATAAAGCAACATACCCCTCCCACTGGACATAAATCCCCTCGAGATAAAGCAACATACCTCTCCCACTGGACATAAATCCCCTGGAGATAAAACAACATACCCCTCCCACTGGACATAAATCCCCTGGAGATAAAGCAACATACCCCTCCCACTGGACATAAATCCCCTCGAGATAAAGCAACATACCTCTCCCACTGGACATAAATCCCTTGGAGATAAAGCAACATACCTCTCCCACTGGACATAAATTCCCTAGAGATAAAGCAACATACCTCTCCCACTGGACATAAATCCCCTCGAGATAAAGCAACATACCTCTCCCACTGGACATAAATCCCTTGGAGATAAAGCAACATACCTCTCCCACTGGACATAAATTCCCTAGAGATAAAGCAACATACCCCTCCCACTGGACATAAATCCCCTGGAGATAAAGCAACATACCCCTCCCACTGGACATAAATCCCTTGGAGATAAAGCAACATACCTCTCCCACTGGACATAAATTCCCTAGAGATAAAGCAACATACCTCTCCCACTGGACATAAATCCCCTGGAGATAAAACAACATACCCCTCCCACTGAACATAAATCCCCTGGAGATAAAGCAACATACCTCTCCCACTGGACATAAATTCCCTAGAGATAAAGCAACATACCCCTCCCACTGGACATAAATTCCCTAGAGATAAAGCAACATACCCCTCCCACTGAACATAAATCCCCTAGAGATAAAGCAACATACCTCTCCCACTGGACATAAATTCCCTAGAGATAAAGCAACATACCTCTCCCACTGGACATAAATTCCCTAGAGATAAAGCAACATACCCCTCCCACTGGACATAAATTCCCTAGAGATAAAGCAACATACCCCTCCCACTGAACATAAATCCCCTGGAGATAAAGCAACATACCTCTCACACTGGAAATAAAGCCATTTGAGATTTGGTCCAATGTGTTTTAGATTTGGGCCAAGGAATTTGTTATTTGGGCTAAGGTGTTCAATATCTAGGCCAAGGTGTTTGAGATTTCGGCCAAGCTGTTTGAGATTTGTGCAAATTTGTTTGAAATTTGGGCCAAGGTTTTTGCGATTTGTGCCAGGATGTTTGGGGTTTCGTCGAAGGTGTTTAAGATTTGGGCCAAGAGTTTTGAGATTTGGACTAAGGTTTTAGAGATTTGTGCCAAGATGTTTGGGGTTTCGGTGAAGGTGTTTAAGATTTGGGCCAAGAGGTTTTAGATTTGGGCCAAGGTGTTTGAAATTCGGGCCAAGGTGTTTGAGATTTGGGCCAAGGTGTTTGAGATCTGTACCCAGTAATTTTATATTTGTGCCAGGGGGTTAGAGGTATGTACCCAGTAGTTTGAGATTTGTGCCGAAAAAATTGAGATATGTGCCAAGAAATAAAATTGGCTACTAACAGCTGTAATATGAGACGGCGCGAGTCAGCGGTAGAGAACTAGACAGCTTTCCCGAAATTCTCGAGTTTTAATCCAGGTTGTAGTCAGTAGACTGTTACTGAGTCAACCCAGTTCTGATGGGTACCTATCTCACGTTTGGGAAAACCAAGGCGGTGGGGCATAGTGCTGACCACTCTATCCCTTCATATGCCGAGGTCTCTGAAACAAACTCGACTTTATCTACTCTATGAGTTGTTTTGTTTTCAAGATGGCCTTTTAAATGTCAAATGTCAGGAGTATTTCCTCATTCCTGTCATCCTTTTGACCATATCGGCCTTTGAGTCCATGTCAACCTTTATGTCAAGTCCGCCTTTAAGATGTCGGCCTTATAGATGTCAGCTTTATTTCATATCGGCCTTTTGTCCTGATCCGAAAATATTCCATATTCTCAAACGTTCATTTCCAACATACGTGGATACACCTGTTACAAAAACTAATTTAAAATGTACAAATTGCCATTTAATCCATAAGTAATTTAAAGAAAAACGGAACGTTATGTTGGTTCATACAAAAATACAATCCTAACTTAAATTGATGCACACAAATCGATTACCATCAACTGAATTAAATTACCTTATTCCAAACACCTATCTCTGATAAGTTAGGTCTACGTTTTATTCTTTTTTAAATTGAATTCATCTATGTGTAATTTAAATTATACCAAATAGCCTATCAAACCTGTCTTGGTAGTTTAATCCAACTTAATTTCAACTTGATGAATTGTATGTTTGTCGGGGTCGGCGTGGTCGAGTCGGTAAAGTTCATGGTTGCTAAACCGAAAAGTCTCGAGTTCGAACACTTGGGAAGATCAAGCTCATTAGCTGGGGACAGCCACTCTGCTAGGAGTTTGTTCTTAGTTGCACAAAGGCTATGGAAGCAATTCCAAAAAAAAGGCTGAAACCGAAGTCAATTTCCTCCATAGCGCATAACCAGTTGACACGTATACTTACAACAATACTAAAATTAAGAACGCAGAAGAAGAAGGAAAGGAGTATATTTGTATTTCAACCAGTGGCGTAGCGAGGTCGGGTGTCACCCGGTGCGGCTCTTAATGGTCATCCCCCCCCTCCTCCACTCTTGTCGGAAATAGTCAAAGACTAGTTAAAATTCTAATTAATCACTTAATTAAGTGGAATTATCATTTTTCTGTATTGACTTTGCTATTTTTGCCTTGGTGTCACCCCCCCCCCCTTAAATGGTGTCACTCTGTGCGGTTCACACACCCCATCCCCCTCGCTACGCCCCTGATTTTAACTACGTCTATAATCAATTATTCTATGATTGCAACGAGAGTATGGGTAACCTCATTTTTCCTGAGGTCGAATTGAAGTAAATAGTTATGAGACCTTGTCTACAGAGGCGTAGCGGGGGGGGGGGGGGTGCGGAGGGGACATATGTCCCCGGGCGCCGACCTTAGGGGGACGCCAAAATGAGTTGGAAAAACAAATTGAAAGTATGAGGGGGGGGGGGTGCAAAACAAAATTTCGAGGGGGTTGCAAATCGAAAGTTTGAGGGGGAGGGGTGCAAATCGGAAGTTTGAGTGGGGGGTGCAAATCGAAAGTTTGTCCCCGGGCGCCGGGAAGGGTCGCTACGCCTCTGCTTGTCTATTCGATAATTTAAAAAGACAAACCAGGGCCATCGTATCCGTGACCTACAATAGGCACTGCTATGGCCTACGTACAAGGTAAAACAAAAACTTTGAGTGGAAGAAGAAAAGTATGTTTTATGTTGATAATATCGATTCAGCATTCTAATTCATAATATGTATAATTTATACCACTAATATTTTTTTAAACCTACAGACATTATCATTATACGTACATTTTTCTACAACTAATACTGCTTCAGCTTTAAACAGTGCCACTATACGTACATTTTCTATCACTAATACTGCTTCAACTTTAAAACCGTGCCACTAGTATACGTACATTTTCTATCATTAATATTGCTTCAACTTTTAAACAGTGCCATTATATGTACATTTTCTAGCACTAACATTGTTTCAACTTTTAAATAGTACCCCTAAACGTATAGTTTCTATTACTTATATTGCTTCAGCCGTCCAACATGCAAGTGCCACTTCTTGTGTGCTTACTTCCCCTTTTCATGATGGCCTCTGCAACATCCGGGGGAAATACTTCCATCATCCAACATGAAGGTTTCCAGACACGGCAGATGCCCACTTTCACAACAGAGGTAATTTTTTTAAGCGTTTTAAAATTACAGTTAGTTGAACTTCTTCTTTTTGTTCCTCATACATCATTCTATTTTTTACAAGAGTATATATATCTCGTTTGTCAAATTTAGCAAGCAAAATTTCGACCACTTCTACTAGACTTAGACCAATTTATTTCAAACTAAGCACGTAGTTCGAGACATGATGACAATGCACTATAACAGCATAAACTTTGCTCGCTCAACAAGACGCAATCTTTCAATCCTTTACCAGTCCAAGGAACCGTTTATTTATATATGTATGTATTTATAACATAAATTGATGTCACATACCAGATGCCATGGACATGATGACGTTTATGAATGAAATTGTTTCTGCAGTATTTGCTTCCCTACACCTATGAGATCATGTTCCAGTACGTTCGCACTGCTCGCTATGAAGTCTCCTACGTGATACGTGGATACACGCCACCCAATTCTCAGAAGTAAGTGAACAGAAGGTGTTAGATTCCTACATGATACGTGGGTACACGCCACCCAATTCTCAGAAGTAAGTGAACAGAAGGTGTTAAGAATAAGATTCGGAGAACTTGAGTGTGTATATATGGGAGTGGGCCTATGTCCCAACATATATCATCATCATATCACACACACAAACGCTTACTCACACATACACACTTCAACACACACAAAAACACACACATATGTTCTTGTGAGTTGAGATCTGGACGGGGTCGAAGGACTACGTACAACGATCAAATATCATTTGATACAAATCAGAACAGGACAGCGTTGTCCATTTAATCTATTAATATTATATATATATATATATATATATATATATATATATATATATATATATATATATATATATATATATATATATATATATATATATATGTATATAAAATAAATATATATATATATACATACACACACACATATATATATATATATATATATATATATATATATATATATATATATATATATATATATATATATATATATATATATATAAGTAAAGTAAGTAAAGCTTCCTTTCGAAGCTGAAAATTCATCGGATAAGTGACGTAGAGTTCACCTGTTTCTGTTAACTCGGCATATGAAAGGATAGTATGGTCAGCACTAAGCCCATCCGCCTTTACTTTCCTAACGTGAGTTAGGTACCTAATAGAGCTGGGTGGACTCACTAGCGTTCTACGTACTTAACAGTCGGATTTTAACTCGAGACTTTCGGGATAGCAGTCATATACATTTCGACTGCTCCTTCCGCTTAAACAAAATTTGCTCTTTGAACCTTCAAATGGTTATGTGAATCTTTTGACATGTTTATAAAGTACGAGCCGGCCCGCGGCATAACATACGCCGCTATTTAGTTGTTTCTAATTTTCAATAATTCATAATTTGTGAATTCGACAGTACCAACGCTGACACTGAAAATATTTCTTTAAAACACTATAAGTAGCTCGTTAAGGACCATAACCCCCCCCCCCCCCTTCCTTCCCTCCCCCCCTCCTCCCCCCCCCCTACGTTAAAAATCGTTGGCTCTGCTTGTAAACATTTAGAGTGAACACAGCTCACTAAAACCATGTAGGGGTGGGGAGGTAGGGAGAGCGTTTGCAGCTTGTTTTCTAACGGCTCGAAGAAGAGAATTATATATATAGATACATATCCAATGACTATTTAAACAATCGTTGAATTGTTCTTCTAATGGCTGTACACAATTTGTTTTGAAATAACACACAGTATACGACAGGAGCTCACGGTCACTGATAGCTGCCCCAATGTTCGATTTGAACGTTTACACCAGCGGCGTAGCGACCTATCCCGGCGCCCCGGAGACAAACCTTCAATTTGGCGCCCCCCTATACATTTTTTAATATTTATAATTCAAATCTGCAGCTAAAATGAGCTTTTCATATTTTTTCCAACCCATTCTGGCGCCCTTAAGGTTGGCGACCGGCAGTAGCGTAGCGAGGGGGGTGCGGGGGACGACGACATATGTCCCCGGGCACCGACATTAGGGGGCGCTAAAATGGGTTGGAAAATCAAATTTAAAAGTTGAGGGGGTTGAAAATCGATAGTTTGAGGGGGGGGGGGTGCAAAATCGAATTCTTTAGGGGGGGTGCAATCGAAAAGTTTGTCCCCGGGCGCCGGGAAGGGTCGCTACGCCTCTGGCGACCGGGGACATGTATACCAACCACCCCCCTTCGCTACGCCTCTGCTGCTCACGTACAAAGTGTTATTTTTTTTGCCTACCATCCAGGTTCACTGTTGAGCTGTGTAATACCAAAGACTGTTACGTTGACAAGGCCCTTCACTTGAGCGTGCGCTTCAACAAGCAGTACGTCGTTCGAACTGGGAAAAAAGACGGCAAATGGGAGAGAGAGGTCACGAGGGGCGACATGCCGTTCACCAGGGGGTCGAACTTTGTCCTGGAGATACGCTCCAACAGAGGGGGTAGATACAGGGTAGGCAAAAAAAATGATGCCCCTTCTTGTTTTTTTTTTTAATTTGGTGATCTATGTAAGTTAGATATAAGTTATTATAAAACATAAATTGTTGGTAGATAGAAATACTGGTAGCAAAAACGTTGTTGTATCAAAGAAAATGTTGGTAAACTAAAATGTCGGTAGCATCGAAATATTGGTAGCCTGAAATGTTGCTAGTTTTAAAATGTTGGTAGCCTGAGATGTTGGTAGCCTGACTTGTTAGTAGCCTGAAGTGCTTGTAGCTAGAAATTTAGCGAGTCATCTCAATAATCGCATTAAAAATGACCAAAGACTGATATACACTGAGCGCCGCCTGATATAAACTATACATTTTTTTAGTGCTTGAATTAGATCGACCACTTGCAGGTGTGACATCAACCTTGACCTTTAGTAAGGGATAGCTTTGCTGACGTCGGCACCTGGGAAAATACGAGCATCCCAGAAATGTTAAATTTAGGGGTTAAATTTTGACCCGTTTCACTACACAATTCTATCCAACTTCTTCCAGACATTATTCTCCAAGTTGGGGGGGGGGGGGGAGGACTTGATATTTTCCCCCCGAAGAGATGCCTGAAAGAAACTCAGATTCTACCCATTAAAAGGACGTAAATATGTAATGAATTTTAACTTCATTCCCCCCCCCCTATGTGACTACCGACACAAATAAACAAATAAAACATTCTTTTTAAAGATTTGACTCTGATGCTTATTATATTTGTGTAACGATATGGAGGCATGGCATTTGATGTTTATGTTAATTTTTAGAATGCCATCAAGTGTCTGCGTTGTTGTTTTGGGTGTAGTTCCGTACCATTATCTTTAATTTTTCTTAGAATATTTTTGTAAATAAACAAACATTTTATCTCCGTTATCATTTGAATTTAGTTATGGCTATAATTAATAGCTGGAGCAAAGCCTAGCCGATATCGGCTAGTAAAGTATCTATCTATATACATAATTCTCTTCTTGGATACCCTAGAAAACACCAAGCTGTAAGCACGCCTAGCAGCCCCCTCTCTTCCTCTCTAAGCATATTCCAACCACCCCACCCCCACATGGTCTGGTGAACTGTGGTTCACGCTAAATGTTTACAATCGTAGAGCTGGGTTTAGTGACGGCTATTAGCGGCAGATAATTTAGTTTGAAACGATTTTAAACTTACGGGAGGTATCTAAGAGGAGGCTGCTTTCACGGGGTGGGGGGGGGGGGGGGGGTAGGGTAGGGGTTGGGGGAAAGGAAGGTGGGGGGAGAATTATCGTCCTTACTGATCGTGTTTTATAGCAAATATTTTCAGTGGCAGCATTGGTACTGTCGAATTCACAAATTATGAATTACTGAAAAGTAGAAAATAAAACAACTAGATGGCGGCGTATGATACGTCGCGGGTCAGCTCGTTAAATAATATTTACGGTACCAAGCTTTTATTGCAAAAAAAAAAAAAAAAGAATGAAAAAAAAATAAATACATATTGACTTTCAGTGCTAAACTGTGTTTATTTTTATTATCAAAATGCATTTAAAACATTGTTGCTTTAAAGTTTTAGCGATCAGTTATTGTATTTTATCTATTTGTTACACAACGAGAATTTATTTCAGACACATCTCCAGAGGCAGAGAAACAATGAACACCCCCCCCCCCTTCGCCACTTCATATACACACCCCCCCCCCCCCAACGAAATAGAAAATATTTTCTTTAACCAGTGTCTGACTCTCAGAAATCTCAACACTTTAGGGTTAATTTGATATTAATTGGAGCTAAATTAATGATATTTTTGACGGCAGATCTACGTGAACAATTTGTTTTTCACCGACTTTAATTACATCGTTCCCATGGAGGGCGTGAGGTACATCATGGTGTTCGGGGATGTCAAGATCAGAAAGATGTCAGAACATGTAAGTGTGTTTGTAGGGTTTGTAGGGTTTGTAGGGTTTGTAGGGTTTGTAGGGTTTGTAGGGTTTGTAGGGTTTGTAGGGTTTGTAGGGTTTGTAGGGGTTTGTAGGGTTTGTAGGGTTTGTAGGATTTGTAGGGTTTGTAGGGTTTGTAGGGTTTGTAGGGTTTAGAAAGTTGTAGAAAGATTTCAGAACACGTAAGTGTGTTTGTAGGGTTTGTAGAGTTTGTAGGGTTTGTAGGGTTTAGAAAGTTGTAGAAAGATTTCAGAACACGTAAGTGTGTTTGTAGGGTTTGTTGGGTTTGTAGAGTTTGTAGGGTTTGTAGGGTTTGTAGGGTTTAGGAATGTTGTAGAAAGATGTCAGAACACGTAAGTGTGTATGTAGGGTTTGTAGAGTTTGTAGGGTTAGTAGGGTTTGTAGGGTTTGTAGGGTTTGTAGGGTTTAGAAAGTTGTAGAAAGATTTCAGAACACGTAACTGTGTTTGTAGGGTTTGTAGAGTTTGTAGGGTTAGTAGGGTTTAGGAATGTTGTAGAAATATTTCAGAACACATAAGTGTGTTTGTAGGGTTTGTAGGGTTTGTAGGGTTTAGGAATGTTGTAGAAAGATTTCAGAACACGTAAGTGTGTTTGTAGAGTTTGTAGGGTTTGTAGGGTTTGTAGGGTTTAGGAATGTTGTAGAAAGATTTCAGAACACGTAAGTGTGTTTGTAGAGTTTGTAGGGTTTGTAGGGTTTGTAGGGTTTAGGAATGTTGTAGAAAGATTTCAGTACACGTAAGTGTGTATGTAGGGTTTGTAGAGTTTGTAGGGTTTGTAGGGTTTAGGAATGTTGTAGAAAGATTTCAGTACACGTAAGTGTGTATGTAGGGTTTGTAGAGTTTGTAGGGTTTGTAGGGTTTAGGAATGTTGTAGAAAGATTTCAGAACACGTAAGTGTGTTTGTAGGATTTGTAGGGTTTGTAAGGTTTGTAGGGTTTGTAGGATTTGTAGGGTTTGTGGGGTTGAGGAATGTTGTAGAAAGATTTTAGAACACGTATGTGTGTTTGTTGGGTTTGTAAAGATTGTAAGGTTTAGACTATAGTTTAGTACAAAATATTATTAGATATTCTTTGTTTGTAAATCTCTGTTGAGTTATAATTAGTCTTTATATGTTAATTATGTGAAATTATTTAGTCCAATACATATTGATATTGTCAAAATTAAAATGTATGTGGCATACACAATAAAATGTGTCTTTATGTATGACAATATCACTGTGACATTTTTTTTATTATAACATCCAAAATTAATTTTATTCACAGATGGTACCACCGGTAAGCAAACAGTTTTCATAAGATAAGTTAATTGGTATAAAGTTATTGGGACAAAAGTAACATAAACGAGACGTTATATTTATGATCATTATACCTTGACATACAAGTGTTCCGACTTACGAGACTTTTTGAGATACGAGCTGTCGAGGGAGCTAAAATTTATTTTGATTTACGAGAAAATTTCAGATAAGAGCAACCAAGTCTGCAAGTTTAAAAGTTCGTGGAAAAAAAAAAACCTCCAGAAAAAGCTGCAATTGATTGTGTATCTTGGCTATTTCATGACATCTATATAACTCATTTTCGAAACATATTGAAAGGGAGGAAACAAAAGATCATTGGACAGCCCTTTGAAAAGTGTGGGAAGTGATGAATGCGTGGCGAAAAAATGGATAACCACATTCTCCAGCTCAAAAAACGAAGACTAAGTGTCTATACTTATGACGGTAGCGCTAAAAAAAGGACGAAACGACACTGGCTTATATATATATATATATATATATATATATATATATATATATATATATATATATATATATATATATATATATATATATATATATATATATATATATATATATATATATATATAAATAAATTTATACCAAGTTGGTACATATATATATATATATATATATATATATATATATATATATATATATATATATATATATCGTTAATTTCATCTCTTTAGCAAACCCAATCTTCAGGACATGTGTCCCACTTCTTCCAAGCCCCCAAACCCGGCGATTGGTTCCACTATGAGTTGACTCTGCCTGCTAACTGGGATGTGTAAGTAAACGTTTTGACTCTAATGGTGTTGAAACACCTGCAGAAATGTTGTTGTACTTTCACACCATTGGAAGAATTTTAACTACATGATGTTTTTTTGAAAGGTTTTGAGCGAAAATATTCAGAGTAATTGTCTTTAACTTTTTTTTTTATTAAAAAACCCCGTGGAACCTTTTCTATTCTCCCACAATTTTCTGTCTTTTTAAGTTTATATTTCATTTTTTAGTAGACACGTATAACTTCCGTTTACCGAAAATCGCACAGACTTTTATAGAAAACTAAAAATTTGATGTCATTTTAATATATGTTGATACAGCTGCAAGTTTTCTTGAGTTAACGCACTTTAAGTTTTTCAGTCTCTTGAAGGTTTTAAAATGTCAAGTTTTGCCAAAATCTCAATTTGAATTTATTTCACAACACAATACATCCTTTATATTACGTATAAAATAAATTGTGCAAGATTTTAATACTTTCTTAATACTCTTATACGAGAAAATAAAAATCATAAAAAGGTCTTTTCTTTATAATTATTTAAATTGTACTGCATTATTATTCATTAAAAGATGACAAAAACATGTATTTTCTCGTTTTTAAAGCATAATTAGATAAAGCCGTATTATTAAAACGTGTTTTTATTTTTGTTTTCCCAACTTCTTCCGATTTATTTTCAATCATGTTTTATTTTTCATCACCATAATATTGTGTATCTCTCTCTCAATCGATTTAGTTCGATTCTTTTGTGCTTGCAAAAAGAAACGTATTTTTTTTAAATTTAGAAATATCAGCCATAAAAAAACAACAACACAAGAATTATTTAATTTAAAAAAATATTTGCTCATTATTCGTTTCTGGCTTGTTTTGTGTTCAATATTACTTTGGTTGCTTCCCTTTGCATATTTCCTAGAAGCAAACCTTGTCATACATGTTTTTTAAGACCGCGTTTACCCTTGCGACAAGTATACTATACATGTCTAGAAAACAAAAAAAAAACTCCCTCACAACAAGTTAATGTTAAACGAAAACATTTTTCCAATTGAACATGTATACTTGCTTGCGTTGAGGATTTTTTTTTTTTTTTTTTTTTTTTTTTTTTCACAACATGTATAATATACAAGTCGCAAGTGTAAACACGTTGTAACAAGTTCGATCACTTCCAGGTATCAGTTGTACCTGGCGTGCACCAACACCACGGAAATCAACCAGTTCCAGTACCACATGATCCTCATGCACAGGAAAACAGAAACCCCCCGCCTCAGTTCGATCATCAACGGGGTCACGGGCAGCCGAGTCGACGTCAGCTACACGGTAACACCCGGTCGGGCATTCAGCGTGGACTTTGAAATCAGGGCAACGACAGTTCAGGTAAGGGGGGGGGGGGGGGGGTAGGGGGGGGGGGGTCTGGAGTCTTGGTATTAACTTTCCCTCTGAGGCAGGGGTCGGCAACGTTTTGAGTTGGAAGAGCCAAAAGTTACAATTTACAAAATTTCCCATTTTTTTAAAGAGCCACTGACAAATTTTATTTTCCAACATTTTTCATTTTTATTAGGATTAGGTAAATAAATTGTATTTGTTATTTTAAATAAATAGCTTTGAATATTAAATAATATTGATTAATATAAAAACATAATGTTTAGCCAGAATAGTAAAATTGGTAATAAAATAGCATAATTATAGGACTATCCCAATCCATTTTAGAAGCTGTTAATTTTTTCTTCTTTTTTTTTTTTTTTACGATAACATCGGCTCAGGAGGTGTCTCCCATTAGCCAGGCAGGCCTCAACACGGCAAACTCCGACTAACTGGATTGGGTATTGGTTTGATTACTGTGTATCGGTCGCTTCTGTCCTTCGGTTATCGTCAGGCTTATAATCTACCCCACTAAACCCAGGGTAAACTGGTACCCCACCGTCCATTGAAAATGAAATGTATAACTATTAATATTTTGCCTGGAGCTGGAGCACCACAAGTTGCCGATCTCTGCACTTAGGGGAAAAGACTAGTGTGCAACGTGTATTCTGTGTGCGCGATGATATATATATATATATATATATATATATATATATATATATATATATATATATATATATATATATATATATATATATATATATATATATATATATATATATAACGATATTCATTCATATTTTATAAAATTAGGGAACCTAGTGTCTGGAAAAGATTGGTAATCATGTGGTCGGACCCGTGTTGTTTTCATCATAAGTTGTATGACCCGTGTTGTTTTGATCAGTAATTGTATGACCCGGGGTAAGCGTGCTCGAGTCGGTAAAGCTCATGGCTGCTAAATCGAAAAGTCTTTGGGCAAATGAGGCTCGTTAGCTGGGGACAGCAACTTTTCTCAGAGAGACTACTCCAAAATCAAACAACTGCTGCCTTGTACTTTGTTTCTTGGTTGTTTCAATTGGTTAATTGTGTTGGAGGGGATCTCTCCAACACTTAAATTAAGAAAGAAGAAGAAAAAGAATGACCCGTGTTTTTCTATTAGAAATTGTATGACCCTTATTATTTTGATCAGTAATTGTATGACCCGTGTTGTTTTGTTCAGTAATTGTATGACCCGTGTTGTTTTGATCAGTAATTGTATGACCCGTGTTGTTTTCATCATAAGTTGTATGACCCGTGTTGTTTTGTTCAGTAATTGTATGACCCGTGTTGTTTTCATCATAAGTTGTATGACATCGTGTTGTTTTGATCAGTAATTGTACAACCCGTGTTGTTTTAATCAATAATTGTATGACCCGTGTTGTTTTGATCAGTAATTGTATGACCCGTGTTGTTTTGATCAGTAATTCTATGACCCGTGTTGTTTTGATCAGTAATTGTATGACCCGTGTTGTTTTGATCAGTAATTCTATGACCCGTGTTGTTTTGATCAGTAATTGTATAACCCGTGTTGTTTTAATCAGTAATTGTATGACCCGTGTTGTTTTGATCAGTAATTCTATGACCCTTGTTGTTTTGATCAGTAATTGTATAACCCGTGTTGTTTGAATCAGTAATTGTATGACCCGTGTTGTTTTGATCAGTAATTCTATGACCCTTGTTGTTTTGATCAGTAATTGTATGACCCGTGTTGTTTTCATCATAAGTTGTATGACCCGTGTTGTTTTGTTCAGTAATTGTATGACCCGTGTTGTTTTCATCATAAGTTGTATGACATCGTGTTGTTTTGATCAGTAATTGTATGACCCGTGTTGTTTTAATCAGTAATTGTATGAACCGTGTTGTTTTGATCAGTAATTGTATGAACCGTGTTGTTTTCATCATAAGTTGTATGACCCGTGTTGTTTTGTTCAGTAATTGTATGACCCGTGTTGTTTTCATCATAAGTTGTATGACATCGTGTTGTTTTGATCAGTAATTGTATGACCCGTGTTGTTTTAATCAGTAATTGTATGAACCGTGTTGTTTTGATCAGTAATTGTATGACCTTGTTAAAACCCTGGGGTCGTCTCTGAGAGCTGTTTTGAGTTTTCCCGGTAACGTCGGGGGATTGAAAATAAACATCATCAATTTAATCGATTCTATGCCCAGCCGCCTTTACTTACGCTAAACTAAATCACGTACCCAGCAGGGCTGACTAACCAGTACGGGATCGGAACTTTAATCTTTTCTATTAGGGGGTCGTCCATAAATGACGTCACACTCGTAGGGGGGAGGGGGGTCCGCAATTTCGTGACGGTGTGTGATTAGGGGGAGGGGGGTGGGGGGGGGGGGGGGTTCAGATGGTGCGACGTCACACTTTTGCATTATAAAAAAGCAATGTTAAAAAAAAAAAAGAATTTTTAGACGTTATTTTGCGTTTTAGAAAACTGTTTTAATAAATTTTAATAACAATTGATTAAAATACTCTATTTTGACAGAGTTCAGACACGATTTTGGAAAAAATATAGCTGTTTAAAAAAAATTCAACTGCAATGTTGAGGGGGTTGTAGGCTATGTTGTGAAGTCATTTTAGGGGGGGGGGTCTGGCTTTTTGTGACGACGTGTGACGGAAGGGAGGGGGGGAGGTAAAAATCATCCAAAAAGCGTGACGTCATTTATGGTGGACCCCTTACCAGTCATGCGCTCTTTTTTTCCGACCACTCCTCACCGAGATAAGATGCTATGAAGCATTCAAAATTAGTCGAAACATGAAAAACGAACTTTCTAATTTTTTTTTTACATCCAGGTCTATGTCAACAACCAAACGGTCGGTCAATACAATGTGGCAATTCACATGCTCACCGACACCCTGTTGCATGGGCGAGTGACGTATTTCAAGCTGGAGTACTTTCGTGTTCCAACATAAGTTGTAGTATCTGCGGCGTAGCCAGTGTTCCACTCTCTCTCTCTGTCTCTCTGTCTCTCTCTGTCTCTCTGTCTCTCTCTCTGTCTCTCGCTGTCTCTCTCTCTGTCTCTCGCTGTCTCTCTCTCTGTCTCTCTGTCTCTCTCTCTGTCAGTCCTACTACACACACACACACGCACACACACACATGTATATATATATATATATATATATATATATATATATATATATATATATATATATATATATATATATATATATATATATATATATATATATATATATATATATATATGAATATATAAGTTAGCAGTTTGACAATATACCATAACATATAATCAGAATTTAGAAAATATACTTTTCCCAACAGCAATCGAACACTTACCACGTACTGTAAGATAGTGTAGGGATAACAGCCTAGCTAATGGGTTATGGGGTACGTCAAGTGATTTCTCAATGAGGTAAAACTTGTTAAACTAAGAGGAGAAGAGAGCAAAGGATGTCTTTGTTCTATTTACATTGGATTACTGTTGCTCAGTGTCTTTCTCTGGCTGCGTCGCAATACTTGCAACAAACAGCATTTGTTAAACCAGATCTCTAAAATAAAATGGCATGTGCATGGCTAAAAATAGAGTTCTGTCAATTGATTTGTTTCATTTAAATTATAACTCAAGCAATACAGATTTTCTGGGTCAGTAAAATTGTGTGCGTCGTTAGGTTTTGTCATTAGCATTGTCATACAATATGACTCCTGTGAATAGGACTCCTTCATCAATACACTCTATAGTTAGTGTAGACAACACCCTAACATAATAATAGATATGAAGCGTTTGGCTGACATACCTTTTTTTTCATCATTGTATGTGGTGTACGAAATACAAATTGACCAGTTATGATGTCAAGTTATGTCTACGGGGAGGGGTCGGCATGCTCGAGTCGATAAAGCTTATGGTTGCTAAACCGAAAAGTCTTGAGTTCGAACCCTTGGGTAGATGAGGCTCTTTAGATGGGTACAGCAACATATGTTCCCTCTAAGGACCAAGAGTGTGTGTGCAAAAATATGTTGTGTGCGCGGCGCTAAAAATGACTTGGGCAAGTTAATATGTATGTTTAGGCTTGCAATTAAGCAAAGTAATGAAGGCAATTGGATAAATTAATAGTATAATGTGTAGGACTAATTAAATGTATGCAATTAAAATAAGATATGAATCCCATCTAAATAAAATAAAATACACAATAAAAACTTTCAGAGTTGTACTTAGACAACAGGTTATATGATCAACTTACAATAATAGTGTAATATATTAACAATGTTAATACAATAACAGTAACAAAAACACAACAGTTTAACATGTTAACCATTAAAAAAGCTGACTAAAATTAGCCCACTTTACAGGGGCATTTATTGCAATTTCTCGCGTCTAACCTTGCCTTGCTTCTACAAGTTATATGCTTTAAATCCACATCCCCTCCGGGATTTAGATATAATTCAATTCGCATTAGAATCTCCAAATGTGTGGCTTCAAGTCTATTTCGTGCTTGCATTTTAATTCTGTTCATAAGACTAACATTTCGTTCGCAATCAGAGCTAGATGCTTAAAAAGTACAGCATATGTCAATTATCTTTGCCAGTGAGCTAAATTGTTCATCGTTTAAATTGTTCATCGTTTAAAGCAGGGGTCTCCAAACTTTTCCGCCCGAGGGCCACATTAACTCTAAAATGTCGGCTCGGGGGCCAGAGATTCTTCCTGGCATCTCTCCGGTCCGACGAACTCGCCCCCCCCCCCCTCCCCCACCAACAAAATATAAGTTATATTGAAATATATACAACTTACAAGTGTCCCCTCCGCCCCCCCCCCCCCCCCCCCACCATAGAAAAAAGTCTGAAAGAAACATCGTTGGTGGCTGACAACATACTCCAAGTCGGTTCTCAAATTGTTCATCACGTTATTCATTCTTGAAAGTGTTTGTTCACAGGTACGTTGTTCCAAAATTGAGAAAAGGTACTTTGATACAAAAATTTTAATATTAGAAGTCTAATACAAAAAGACATTCACATTAAACTGCAAAACTGTATTTTTCCGACACAGGGACTTATAAAACGTCGAGATTTATGAAAATCTCGAATTCAAATTTTTGCACGATAACAACACTTTGCCTATATACTACTTATACGAGAAAATAAAATCAAACACAAATTAACACAAATACAAGCACACATGCAAACAATTACGCAAACAGAAAGGCAAACGCAAACGCAAACACAAACACAATCACACACGCAAACACCAACACAAACACCAAGTCACAGTGGCGTAGCCAGGATCGTCTCAAGGGGGGGGGGGGGGTTCCAAATTTTACCCGGAGACAAACTTTCGATTTGCACCCCCCCTCTTCAAACTTTCGATTTGCACCCCCCCCCTCAAACTGTCGATTTGCACCCCTCCTCATACTTTATATATATATATATATATACCGAGGGGTCTATGGGGGGGATTATGACCCCCCTTAACCCCCCTGCAGACGCCACTGCAAAGTCAAACACAAACGTAAATCTACAGGCAAGCAATAACGCGGAACACAAACACAAATGTAAATGCAGACATGAACGCATAGTGCTCACACTAAAGCCCGGTGCGCCAAATATCTCTGTATTACTGCCAACGTCATAACACCGTCAACCATGTACGGTTGAATGCAGGCTTCATTTGTTTTATTCAACTGTGACAAACATTTTCAGTGTATCGGCGACAGGTGTAACCGGTATGATTTATGTATATAGGTAATGGCATTCACTACAATGGGATCTATAAGGTGTGGGTTATGGTGAGGAATGAGTGGGGTGTAATACACAATGTGTGGGGTATGCAGAGGCGTAGCGAGGGAGGGGGGGGGGCGGGGGTGCGGAACGCACCGGGTGACACCATTTAGGGGGGTAACACCAAGGCAAAAAATAGCAAAATATATAGAGAAAAACTTGAGAGGGGGGGGGGGTGGAAATCGAAAGTTTGAGGGAGGGGGCAAATTGAAAGTTTGATGTTTGATGAAGGGGGGGGGGGGGGGTGCACATCGAAAGTTTGAGGGAGGGGTGCAAATCGAAAGTTTGAAGGGGGGTGGGGTGCAAATCGAAAGTTTGATGGGGGTGCTAATGGAAAACTTGAAAGTTTGTCCCCGGGAAGGATCGCTACACCTCTGGGGGGGGGGGGGTGACACCATTAAGTGCCGCACCGAGTAACACCCGACCTCGCTACGCCACTGGGGGTATGCTATACAATGTGTTGGCCTGATATCCAATGTGTTGGTGTTGTGGACATACGGACACGCAACACATAAGACAAACAAACACAAACGGGTTACAAAACAAGACTGAATGAAACAAAGGCTGGTTGAAACTAAAAGAAGTTAATGCCATCTACACTATTTACACCTAACACAGTCTCTTCTAAACAAAAAACACACATGCTAGTAAAACTACGATACAGTGGCTAAAAACTAGTATAGTCCTAACCTATACTTACCTTGGAGATTTGGACGAAACTGAGGTAATCACACACGTTTCCATACACCTTATATACCCTTTCATAAACTGGTACAAATCAGATTATTACAACTCACAGTACGAGAACTGAACAAGGACGAACAGGATAGGGTACCAAGTACAAAGAACATTCATGCATTCCCCTACACTCGTTCACTACATATGTGAAAGGTGTGATGTTTTACCTTGGTGGGTCTAATGTACAAATTGAGGTGTGATGTATCTTATGAGGAGAGTTAAATTTTTTGGGGATAGGTACATAGTGAGACATTCTAATGCATAACCAGTGACTGAACACAGCAATAACACAGCAAGAACACAGCCAGAACACAGCAAGAACACAACAATAACACAACAAGAACACAGCCAGAACACAGCCAGAACACAACAAGAACACAGCCAGAACACAGCAAGAATACAGCAAGAACACAACAATAACACAGCCAGAACACAGCCAGAACACAGCCAGAACACAGCAATAACACAGCAAGAACACAACAATAACACAGCCAGAACACAGCCAGAACACAGCAATAACACAACAAGAACACAGCCAGAACACAGCAAGAACACAGCCAGAACACAGCCGGATGCCACAATTTGGGAGGCTGGCTTTGGTCACGAACACAAGGCCGTTGACGTTATCTAGGAACTTTTGAGACCTGTCCGGTGAACTTTTCTTGTAGTGATACCGTGTTAGCACCAGTTGTTTTGGTGTCTTTGGTGTCCTCAGCAATCGAGCCTCTTCTGCCCTGGGTTTGAACCAAGGACTTTTCGGTTTAGAAACCATGAGCTGTACCGCATTGGCGCACTTTATTTTTTTTTAATTTGGGAAACAAACTTTCAAAACAAAACCAGTGCCACTGTTGTAATTATTGTGCCGTAGATCAACCTACACTCTCGAAAGATTTTCAGGCGATAAAAGAAAGGAAGCAGTGGAATACGTATAGACACAAATAAAGCTGTGTTAGATAAAGCAAATAATGCTTAGATTGATTCTCTTCAGAATATTTTGTTTTTATTTTTTTTATTTCACAATATATAACGATAATATAGAACAATAATTATTTTAGTATGTAATATAGTAGCTAAACACTAATTTACAAAAACAAATATGTTTTCTACAATCAGAATTGTTTATATTGTCATCATAAATGCTAAAATAATACAGCATAATGAAAGTTTTTAAAAATCAGAGTTGGTATAAAATTACGCGTTTCAATTTGTTAGAGAAATCTAAATAGTTGGTACACTCTGCATAATAGCAAACACATAACTTTAGTTTTGATCTCACAGATCAGATCATTTGCTACTGTTTTTATGATCTTTAAAGATCATTTTCTAACATAACGATAATGTATGTGGTAGATCACTGTATTGATCACACACCTCTTTACTGGTGATTGCAAAGACAACATGTACAGAGTTTTACGTATTTCAAAAGCTATGATACTGGCGGCATGGTACTTAGGTACATCATTACGCGTTTTCCCAAATGTATTTTACAGAACAGTTCGAGTTGGGTTTGGGGGGGGGGGGGGGGGGGAGGGTTCAGCTTCATTCACTACTGTCCACTTACTTTAAGTCAATTATCAATCCTAGCGTATACCTAGATGTGATAATAATTTCGCTCTACTCATGTGGTGGGGTGGGAAAGGGGATGTGGGAACTTACTCACAATGAACCTAGCGTCAGTTTTTAGATGACTGCTCTAAACATACATATATAATAATACATATATACTGATACAAAAATAGATTTAAATAAGTAACAGTGGTATTATAAATGTAACAATTTTGTACAGACGGGTACAAAGGAGGGGTGGGGTTGTAGCCCCCCTCTTAACTCCCCCCCCTCCTACGCCACTGTACACTACAATTTAAATTACTATAAAAAAGCGTGGGTCTCCTCTTTATAGTAAAGGTATCCAGTAGATAATAAAGTGACCCGCCCCTTCCTTTATAGTAGTTTAAATATTGTATTATTATAAAGAAAATTATTTATTTTCTACTTTTTAGTGCACTATTACATAAAAGCTTACTATTAAAACGTTTTATTTATTAAAATCCAATCCATGCTGGGCTATATTTCGTGGATTCTAATAGTTAGTGCCAAGTTTATTTACACTTCCCCTAGGAGCCTTATGGCGTACTGGGTGGAAGTATTATATGCACATTAATCACCCTTCGTTAATGTGAGTTGAAACACACCTGGGTGACTTTTTTATGTGTCAGGATATTATTGGGCGACTTTTTTTATGTGCCAGGATATTATTGGGCGACGTTTGTGTCTTTTGGTTAAGTTTAGTCGGCGGATTTAGCCTCTTAATGCCGCGAAAACGCGACAAACCGTCGCGACAAACCTTTATCAGAAGATGACTTCCTAAATTAATCCCATATGTCATTAGATAGGCAGTCGGAAAAAAAAATTCATACAAATTCACCATTTAAAATATTACATTTTAAAGCGTTGATTCTTGAATTGTTCTAAATAAAATATTAAATGTGGATGCGTTTTTTAAAATTTAGACTTAATAGTGAGGTAGATTAAAAAATTAACCGAGGCATCAAGTTCATATACTATTGACGTTATAACACAAAGCATGACGTCAATTTGGTTCAATGTATTGGCCAGGATGAAAAACTTTTGCAGAAGTTCGGCAGGAACAAGGATGACGACATAGACCACGCAGACGGTAACGAACATCCGCATCACTTTCAGGTCTTTCATTTTTTTCGATACCAACGATTTTCTATTTTTAGTATTTTTCCGGATCGATGTAAAACTTTTTATCAAAATCATGATCGTACAAACGACGCTGACGACGAAAGGAACAGATGCCGTGATAATAAACCGGTTTATATTAAAGTAACTTGAGACAGTGCTTAACCCTTTTAAGTTTATGGTCACATCCAAATTAAAAATATATTTACTGAAGTAAGCTTCAATGTATTTGTTTTCCAGCAAAGACGCCAAGGCTGAATAAAACATTGACGAACATATTATAATCTTGATTCGCGTTGCTGTGATATAAATTGAACAGCTCACCGAAAGACAGACAACGATACATCTCTCTAATGTAATCAACGCAACTAGATGAAACGTGGCTAAAATTGAAAATCGATTTAGAAGAATAACGATGTTAAGATATTCAATGATTTTGCTGGAAATTGCCTTGTAGCAATGCTGAGCACAAACTACAAGTAGATTACATTGTATCCCAGTGACAGAGAAGAGTAAGCCTGTGACTGCCAGTGACGCTTCGATGATGTGGTCGGAGTCACCAAGTCCTTGGCGTGACGCCTCCATTATTGTCAAGAAATTTCCCAGGATTGCAAAAACGCTCAACACACCCATGAACACGACATTCAAGTAGTAAACTAAATGTTGAGTTACAAAAACATTTGGTGTGAACTCATGGGGCTTAAATAATGTGGACTCGTTTTCGGCAAAGGAAAAAGATGTCGCCAATAAATCCATTAGTGAAGACTTGAAGCACACTTCCTGTAGGAATACAAATATTTTTATTTTATAATTATATTTAAAACTAAATGTTAATTATGTATGTTTATATAGGCCTTATATTTATTTTAAAATGTCTTTAAAACCAAATAAATAGGTATATATATATATATATATATATATATATATATATATATATATATATATATATATATATATATATATATATATATATATAATTTTACTAATTAAATTGAACTTGTTGAGTAATTCTCCGGTAAAGCTTATTCAGTAATCTAAAAACTTGTTCAGGTTTCAACAAGATAGGAAGAGGTTTAACCAAAGGACATTCACTAGTTTGTCAGTTGTTTAAATCACAATGATATTTCAGATGGACGAATCAGAATGAAGATGATGTCATGGCTTTATTACACTGAACGATCCACGCCGTTCAAAAGATATCTTTGTTGATTCTAAAAATAAATAGAGAAAGCAGTTAAATAATGAAATTCCATTTATTTTATCAAAGTTAAATTTAATTTCTTTCGCATAGTGTTACAGCTAATGCTCGAATATAACAATTGTAGTTTAAGATTTTACGGCTGAAAAATAAAAATAAAGGAAAGCATTAAACAGGTTACACCTTTAAAGTTGTTAGACAAAACAGCGAAAATTTGCCATCAAGAAAGATATAAAAATAAATGGGGCGTTTTATTGAACAGATATTGTTGCTATAAAGTTTACCACGGAACATTTTAAAAAAGGATAATGTGTTATTGTTTTTTTAATTTCTGTTATTGTCCTTTTTTGTCTCAATTATAAATTGAAATGAAACCCTAAGAAAAGTGTTGACAAAGACTAACATTAAAGCCAGTCGTTGAATTGAAAATATAAGTACTAAATCACTTTTACAACTTGCTAAAAAAATATAAAATATCATATATTTTTATTGTTGTATTACAACTTTTTAACAACAGCTTATAGTTTATAGCTCGAGACATAAAGTTGGTGTTCTAACCTATAACAAATGTTGCTTGCGGTTGTATATTTAACATACGTTTCAGATATCAACATCAAAACTTTCCTTTCTTCAATACCAACGCTGGTAAGACAAGATGTAACGTTAGCCGTTTACATTTTCTTGTTTTATTAAGCGTTTTATTTAACACATTGTTACGCTTCTCGACTTCACTCAGATATACTTACAAAACTGAAATTTAAAACGCTAGTTTATGTATAAAATTATTTATTTATTTAGTCCGCTAATTAGATTCATTTGAGTTCTATTAAAACACATGAATAGAAACTCACACTTGGTATAGGCAAAATACAATTTTTCTAAAATAAAATGTTTATTTTACTGATAATTTATATGAGTGCTGCATGCATTTATTTCTTCTCAGATGTCATCATGTTGTTTCTGTGAAAAAAAAACAATTTAAGTCAATGGGTCAAAACACTAATAGATTAGAATAGTTTTATAAACAACAACATTTTCATTAATTGCCTATTTATCTCTTTTACAGATATATAAATATTACCTGAATGTATTTATAAAAATTGTCTTTGCAAATTAAAACTTTATACACAAGAACGTGAAATTATACATTCTTGAGATACACTCATTTTATGGATTGCTAAGATCAAATCAGAGCAACAAGATAAACAATAAATATATTTAAATCTGTTTTACAGTGTTTCATCTATTAGCAGCAAGGTTTATTTTCTGCAGCTTATACTTAATTTAGTTCAAATCACTACACGCTAACAAGATGGAGACATCAAGAAAACATGCCCATGACGCCTATGATCTAGAAGACATAGTTAACTCAACAGAAGGCAGCAGCACAGGAATTCACAATGAGGCCGCGTTCCTGTTTTCTTTCCCCATTGACATCGTGTTCTACGTTATCGGCAGCTTCGGCGTGTTCGGGAATTGTGTGACAGTTTTCATTTTATGCCGGCACGGCCTCAACAAGACAACCAACATCCTTCTATGTTCTCTTACTGTATCAGACCTGGTTTTCTCAGTCAGCAACATACTTAACTACAACTATTATTGCTATTACCATACTCTGCAACTTGAATATCAAATTCAAGACTCAGCTACACCAACAATTTTATACAGTGTGTACTATTTATCTTTATCAATGAGCTACCACAATGTTGCCTTGATTTCCATAGAGA